AGGCTGCCGTCTTTTAACCCCTGGGAAGTCCTCTCAGGGCTTTAGGAGACCACCAACTTTCCCCTTTGTGGGCAGTGACGATGGTCTGGCACTGGGGAAAGCCGGTGTCACCATCCTTCCTCCATGTTGGGGCACATGGGAAGGCACAGCTGGGTGATTTTGGATCCATGAAGTCCTTCTGTGCCCCCAGGAATGGTGAAAAAATGTCTTCGAACTGGAACTGCCCTACAGGATGGGGCAGTGATGAGGGCGTTGGACTGGGGACCAGGGGGGTCCGGGTTCGAGTCCCCGCTCAGCCAGGGAGATCACTGGGTGACCTCAGTCCCATCACAGGCTCTCAGCCCAGCCTACTTCACAGGGTTGTTCTTGAGAAAAGGAAATGAAGCAGGGAAGAAACTTGTAAGCCACCTTAGCATACTAGAGGAAGAAGAGGTGGGATATAAATCTAGTGTAATAATACTCACTTGAATCCAGTGGAAGAGTTGAAAAAACGCTCTGAGACTGAAAAATGGGGTTTTAAAAAGCACGTGTTGCTTCTGTGCTGAGCAACAGGAGCTTGGAATGGAAGGCTTGTCCACTACAAGTTCTTGTTTGTTTGTTTGTTTATATTTTTCAATTTATATCCTGCCTTTTTCCTACAAAGGGCTCAAGGCAGCTTACATCAGTCTCCTCCTCCATCTTATCCCCACAACAACAACCCTGTGAGGTAGGTTGGGCTGAGAGGCTGTGACTGGCCCAAAGTCACCCAGGTGGCTCCACGGCTGAGTGGGGACTAGAACCCAGATTGCCTGAGTCCCAGTCCCATGCTCTTACCCACTACACCACACTGGTTCTTCTTTCCCATCCTCACAGGATGGCTCTGCTGAGCTGTTTGAACCCACTGCAGCACCGTTTCCAAGAGCAGCACCATGATACCTTTCCAAAGAGGTAACAGCTTGGAATAAACAGGGCCTTAAGAGCCTTTGTCTGTGGACCTTGATATATGCCTCTCAGTTCTGCAAAGGTGGAATCACAAACCAAGCCCTGTCCCTCTCGCTTGGCCAGGTTAGCTGATTTTAGCTGTGGGCACCATGGAGCTGGGCTTAGGATATTGGCAATGGTTGAAAGTGCTCCTTCATGCAACCAGGCTGCAAGCTGTTTAGGATTTTCAAGGGCATTTCCAGCCTTTTTAGATTGGACCTCAAAACATGTGGACATTCAAGGCAATGTTACAGTGCTGTATGGTCTGCTCATCTTGTTTGGTGAGGCAGTAGACATTTCTGAACACTGAAGGAAGAGCTCATTTTATGACCATAATCCAAATGTCACTGGAGCAACCTGATGCCTGCCTTCCTTATTTAAAACATTTATATACTGTCCACTGCCGAGGTCTCAGGATGGCCTTACATTAAAACAAAGTGGAGCACAGCATCCAAATTGATTTTCCATACATTGAAACCTCACATTAAAATCAGACTCAAGCCTTAAAATAATGGGAAAATTAAAAGGATTTAGCCAAAAGGTATAAAGTGCTGGTGCCAGGTGAACCTCTCTGAGGGGTGTATTCCCTAGATGGGCACCACCACAGAGAAGGCCCTTCTCCGGGTAGCCACCCTCCTAATCTCCTTCAAGGAAGGCTCCCAGAGAAGGGCCTCCAACCCAGATCTTAGGAGGTGGGCAGGCACATGGGGAAGGAGATGCTCCTTCAGATATTCAGATGTGCATCTTCTCCCAGCCCTTGCCCGCGTGAGTGACGGGGTGCTTCTGAGCCTTGAGGCCTCATAGTCAAAAGACAGTTGACAATCAGGGAAGCAGAGGGCATGGACACGAGGCCATTCTTTTTGTTCAAAGCCCTGAGGAGGTTCCATGACCTTGAAATTAAGTCAACATTCTTCCCTGCTCTCAACAGTATTGGTTCTGCGTGTGGTAAATGGGCAATTCACCAAGGGGGCCTGCCAGAATTATGTAAGAGGGCGAAGGAGGGTCAAATGAAGCATGAGTCATGTAGATGTCGGTTACCTAGGATGGGAAAAATATCTGGTGTGATAAAGAGAGTCAGATGCAGCCTGGGAATCAAATTAAAAGTATTGTATTTTGTTTCTCAAAAGTACAAGACTCTGGGTGGGGTATGTGCCATGAGGAAAAGGTGTTTTTTTTAACACTCCATGGCTTGCTGAAAAGTTACTCCCCCCTGCAGTGTGAGCATGCTTGTATAATTTAATTGCACGAAGATTAATTGATCAGTGTTACTGAAGACTTGGCCGGGATGGGAAGATAAAGCGAAATACAAGCTGCCTCTTTGCTACTGGAAGTTTGCATCTTGCTTTGTCACAGTAAAAACAAGATCCCTTTCTGTGAGATTTCACGTCTTTGAACTTGAAGAGAAAGATAATGTGCTGTTCATGATATGGTACCGATAAACAGCAGGGGAAGAAGTCATTATCATCTCACTGCACTGTGCTTACAGCTCAGGAAAAAGAGCATTAAAGATAACGGCAAAGTTGGCCTTTGACAGATTTCTTCACTGGAAGGGGGAATTGAGCCACCGGTTCTGCTGCAGTTGAACTAGAATGAAGCCTCCCCCCCCCCCCCGCAACCATGTTGGAATAGAATTTCCATTGTTTCAGTGCCAGGTATACTCAATTTTACTTTGAAGACCCCACGGGCTTCTTTGGTCTCTGCTTCCTGGTCTTCCAAACTGGCTCTTTAAACTTCTGATATACTGAGTTTTGCTGCAGTTTTATTTCATTTTATTCTTTTAAACTGTTGATAGTTCGCTGTCTTGGGCATTGCTTCTATGCCGGAGTCCTTGTAGCTAAGGTTACCATTCCATTCTGGGTAACTTTGGGGACTGCATGCCAATGGGGTGAGCTGGGCAAAACTGGACAGTCCAATCCCTCACAAAATAGAGGAGGGTCTGCTAGTAATTGGGAGAATGCCAGATGCAGCTCGGAGGCAGGACCGGATGCAAAGGTCCTGCCTCAGTCAGTCATCAGTCGCACATAAACGATGCTCAGACGCTGCATGAACTGAACGGGGGAGTCATATCTTTACGATGTGTGATTAGCAAATGAGTCTGCCCGATGGCCGTTTGTTACCTACGATGGGCAGCCAGCCCTGTGTTGGACACTTGTGCATGCACCCAGGTGGGGGAGTCTCTGCCTTTCATCTTTTCAGCCTGGTGTTGACACTGAGCCCTTGGGCAACTAAAACAAGGTATTGTAAGAAGACCAAGGCTTTTCTTTCCGAAGGTCAATAAGGCTTTGCTTTAATCAAATGTCAAACATTTCACCAACTCGGGCAACTCCCTGTACAGGCCGTTCTGGACTGACTCTGCTATAATTAGCCCTCATGTGGGCTTCTATACGGGCTGATTCCAGACATTCTAGTTGATTGGAAGACGCCCACAAAAGCTTCCCCATTTACTTCAAAGGAGGAAGCAGATGCAGCGTGTGTGGGACTGACTGGGCAGTGCTGACATCGCTGAAGCCCAGCCAGATTTGTATCTATGAAGTGGCGCATGGGTTGTCTTTCCATGGAGTCTTTGATCAAGATACGCCAAGGAAGGGTAATGGGGGGTCCTCCAGATGTTGCTGGATTTGAACTTCCACCCGCTCTAGCCAGCCCGGTCAATGGTCCAGGGTCATCTGGCCTTGAACACCACATTTCTTGCACCCTGGGCTTTATGATCAGTCAGATCCCAAGAGCACCGCTCTTGCTGCACTGTTACCATTTCGGAATGCCATTGGGGGAGTACCATATTTTAATGCTTGTTCATCAAAAACAAAGCACAAGAGAAGTGGTACAGCTCCTTCCGGCCCTTAAAAGGCAGGTGCATCAACTAGAACCCTTTCCCATGACCTGTTGTTGCTCTTTGTGTGTGTTCCATATCGGGCTGCATTCAGACAAGGTCTTCACACACTGCATAGTTAAACTAGGGGATTCACTGTGATGGCCAGCAGTTTGGACAGTCTTAAGATGGGTTAGACCCTGATAGTCATATGCTACCTCTAGTATCAGAGGCATCTGTTGATGGGGAACAGTTGCTGAGGCACTTGTGCCGGAGGTTGCCTTGTGCTCCTTTCCTGCTTGCAAGATCTTGTGGGCAGGTGGTTGGCCATGGTGGGAAGAGAATGCCCGGTTAGATGGACCTCAGGTCTGTTCCAGCAAAGCTCTTATGTTCCTCAGGTCTCCCATGCATACAGTCTAGCTTAAAGTTCAACATGGTGGTTTGCTTAGCACATGGCTCCTTCCTTCTTCCTTCCTTCCATCTGTCCTTCCGTTCTGAAGTGTTGATGTGTGGAAATGGTCTCTTGGATGATTATACCATGCTTTGGGTGTGGGAAAAGAACAGCAGTGCTGGTGAGGGTTTATTCAAGGCTGAGGAAAATACCAGTCTTGAGAAGATGCAAGAAGATTGCTTCTGTAGTTCTCGATGCCCAAAGATAGATGGGCATATAACTCCAGAACTCAGCCTGTGGTCCAAGAACAGCTGCATCTGAAGCTGGACTTTTAGAAGGAAGACGGCTTGCACCCATGTGCATGGATCCATTATTCAAGATCTCATTTAAATTGGAGGGGCCAGCTGGAGCTGGGTCTGGCAGCAAAGCCCTGTTCAGGTTATCATTGCGCTCAGGCTTTTAATAAACACGGACGGGTCAGGTTTTTCGTTTTGTCTCCCCACCTTTTTCAGCTGCTCTGAGCCTTCAGCGGTTGTTGGACTTTTGGTTGGGGTGTTCTGGCCGAGTGTTTCATTCACGGAGTGTTTTTAGGGCTTTAATGAATTTGTATTGGTTTTGCTGAGACTGGTTATAAAATCGCCTTGGAAATTTTCATGGAAAGTTGGAATAAAAAAGTCTTAACTAAAAGTTGTGATGCAGCCTGATGTCCAATGCAGTGTGTGGGGGTGTGTCCAAAATCCAAGTGGGTGTGCTCAAACTTTGGGTGCATAGAAGCTGGATTATTTTGAATCTTTGCTGCTTCGGTGTTTTTATGTATTTATTGATGTTTCATCTGTGCAGATTTTCATCTAACACAAAAACAGAAAGCCAGAGCAGTTTACAAAGGAAGAAAGCTTGCAGCACTCACATCAGCCTTGCAGACTTCCCCGGTTGGATTCTGTCCGCTTTTCATTTGGAAATTGCATCCTAACACATCCAGAGAGGCCCAGGTAAGGAGCTGAGGTTCTGTATCCAACTGACATCCCCAAAGAACCACTCAGAAACAAACAGATACTGTACATGTGTTTGTAAGTACCTGCTGCATCATTGGACCTGGATCTGACAGATTTCGTGGTGCTCTCTCCATGTTGGAATGCAAGCCAAGAGTTTCCACAGCAGAGGAGAGTCAGTAGTAAAAGAAGCTGTGCAGTTAAATCATGAAGCCATCCGAATATCCAACCATTTCTTGGAACTCATGTTCACACCTCTTTTTCCACAGTTGACTGACTTCTTAGGATACCTCTTTCTTGGGATGAATATCTTCACCCACTGTGGAAAGTCAGGAGTTGTTACTCAAGGACATGTACTCCTTTCTAGTTAGCGTAACCCTGCTATCACCCTTCAGTTGGGAACTTTCCGAAGTTGGCGGTACAGCGGTGCTAGAGAAAGCCTAGCCTCCCATCCTGCTTTTGAATGTGTATATAATTCTGTAGAAGGTCATTACTGAAATGCTGTGTAAGGCTGGGACCCAGGCTTAGTATTTTAATCAGAGGATATCTTTCAGACAGGTAACTAAGAGCAAGTCCCACTTAAGTCAGAGTCACTTCTAAATGGACACGCCTGTGCTTGTGCTAGGCTACAAGCCTATGCATGCCTACTTGGGAGTAAGGAAGCAGTCTTTGCTTCTGTGTCTGTAAGGATGGATTGTTTTGACTTGCAGGGTGACTCTGACTCTTGCGAATTGGAAATATTCCCGACCAAGAAAAGAAGAGCCCCTGTGCTTTAATGTTTAATACTGAGCATTAAGAACATCTTTTCATTCCTTTACAGGGCTGCCCATAACATCGTGCAATACATTTTCTAGGACTGCAGTGATCAATGGGGCTTGATTAATCGCTGCATTTATATGCTTCTGATTAATAGGACAGCTCCCTGCCCCCGTTTTTAGTGAAGTACTTACAGGAACTGCTCATAACAAGCAACATCTTTGAAGAGGATTCTCTCTCTCTCTCTCTCTCTCTCTCTCTCTCTCTCTCTCTCTCTCTCTATTTGAAAATCAAGTACTTTTGTTGTTGCTGCTTTGAAACTTGTTTTAAGGCTCATGCAAATGTTAATGGATGTACAGATGTATTTGTTTGTTTATTTATTGGACTTGAATGCCACCCTCTTAGCCATAAGGTTTTCTGGGCAGCTCATGACATGTTATGCAACAATTTAAAAAGTACAATTTATAAAACATGTAAAACAATATATAATATAAACAACCAACAGTAAAAATAAAATCAATAATAAAAATAGACATAAAATTGAACAATCAGTAAATTAAACTATATAAGAAAATCTTAGAAAAAATATATTTAAACATAACTAAAAGGTACAACTGGTGCTGAAATCATAAACGGAATCATAATGTGGCTGCGGTGATTGAAACGATTAAACTCAGATCATGATTGATCAATTAAGATTCTTGAATCAACAAGTGAAGAGCCTGCAAAGATTTTTACTTGCCTTCTAGTGTTTGGCTGCAGAGAAAGGAACAGGAATGGAAAAGCAGGATGCTAATCTTATAGCAAGCTACAATTTTTTAAAATTTTATTTATTGGGGTATTTCTATGCCATCCATTACGGTTCGTCTCCGGATGGCTTACAATATAAAACACCTAATAGATGCATCACAATAACACACGACTGAGGATAAAAACATTAAAATATTTAAACTTTAAAATATTGGGTAAATACAAAGGTCTTGACCTGGTGTCAAAAAGCGTATAACGTTGGTGCCAGGTGAACCTCTCTGAGGAGCGCACCCCATAGCTGGGGCGCCACCGCAGAGAAGGCCCTCCTCTGGGTGTTCTCTCTTCTGTCCTCCTTCAAGGAGCAGGGCCTCTGCTGCAGATCTTAAGGGGCGATTTAAGAGAGATTTCTGCTAAGGGGACTAGCAGAAGAGGCTGTGGTCTTTTCTCACCAGCATCCCTGCTTTGTGGTTCTGCTGGCTATGGAAGAAGACTTCCCTCCTCCAGAGGCAAGCACAGAATGAGATGGAGTCCCCTCTCTCACCCATCCTTCTGACGTGTCTGCGTGGATTCCTGATTGCCACAGGCCACCAGAATGGTTAAGTAGATGGCAGTTCTCGGATCTTTTCAGTCCTTCCTCTGGAATAATATCAGAGTGCATTTAAAGGATTTCAGCTCAGAATGTTGCAGGGCAAAGTCAGTGTATTAATAATCGTTAAGAAATAGACTGCCATGTTTGAGGCCTTTGTTAAAAGAAGAGGAACTTCGTGTTAAAGGGAGAGCGGTGACTCATTTGCTTGGGAGAGAGTGGGGCAAGGGGGTGCCCCTGTTAAATAATATTTACCTTGACTCTGAAGAACATACACTTCTTAAACAAAGGCACACCTGTTACACTGAAGCCTTTGAAAAAACTCTGTCTCCTTTTCTCCTCAGTGTGTCCTGCAGAACATTCATCTCAGAGAATCGCTGACAACATAGGAAAGATGCCTGAATGAATGCAGGGAAAGAGCAAAGCGCTTTCCCTCCACAAGACAAATAGCAATCAAGTCTCGAAAAACATGTTTGGAAGTGTTGATGAGTAGCACATGGCTTTGGAGTGGAGGACGGCGAGGAGGAGGAGGAGGCGGGTGCTTCTCTTCCGATTTATGCTGAGATCCGGAGGACTCAATCCTTATAAGAAGAGATGCTAATGCAGAGCTCGAGCCAATCAATGTGGCCAAACAAGGCAGACCTGACGGCAACTTGACCCGCGGGAGGCAGCGCGGAACTGTGTTGCCTGTTGTGAAAGAGAGGCTCGGAGGCAAACGAGGATTAAAATGCCAGCTAAAGGCAAATACTTCTTCAACGAAAATGAGGACTGCAAGATCACGGACCCTTTGTACGAGAAGTACCGCTACGCGAGCCAGCAGCACCCTCTTCTCTTCTTCCTGCTCTTTATCGCCGTCGCTTACTGCACAACTCTCATCCTAGCTGTTTCCATCTGCAATGTGAGTAATCGGCAGCGCTGGTCAGGCGTTTTATAGGCTCTGGAGCGAAGCCCAGAAGTTACAGTCAGAGATAAAACCATCTGGGATAAGAAGGGTGTCAGAAACTTTGCTTTGTGATGGTGCCCTTACTCTGGAAGGCGTAAGTTCCTTGAGAAGTTAGGAGCCAAATAGAAAGGTGGTCTCTTGCACAGAGGGGATGCGGGATGGAGAAGAAGTTTGCCAAGGAAGTTGCTTATTCTAACGGTATTTGGGAGTCCCGTTTCAGGCTTCAGTCTAATTGTTTTCGAAATACAGCATTCTCTGTAGAAAATGCTTGTTTAATACCAAATTGTAAATAGTTGAAGTGAAATTCTTTTCACAACACAAGGTAGGTTTCAGAGTTACTCTTTTATACTGGTAGCAGAGCATAGACTTGGCAGCAAAATGTTGCATGAAGACATTCCTGGGTTCAATTTTTTACATCACCAATTCAAAGGATTCTAGCTGCTCACCCTGCATCTAGTCTAAGATCTCTGGTACAGGAAAGACCAGCCTGCAAGATCATGGAGCAGATACGGGTGGGGGCAGAAGGTTGACTGGGATCTACTCTCTGGGTGATTTGTAGTAGATTACCAAGGATCTCTGACTACCAGCTGTTGAACAGCAACAGCAAAATGAGGAAAGATTGTGTGTGGGAAAGACTGTGAATTCTGAACAACTCTCTGGGCTCAGAATTCTTTAAGTGCATTTCGTTTGTTAGTGAATTACAAATTAAAAAGATGAATTTGTGCATGTTGGAGCAGACAGTTTTGGCTTAGGTGGACAGAGAGACCAGATCAGAGAAGACAGCTTCTTGCGTTCCTTGTGTATAACAGGGTTATTATGCTGTGCCTAAAACTTCAGGTGTATTGCGTTTAAAAGTTTGCAGATGCTGTGGAATGGCAGGCTCAAGGTTGCGACTGGGTAACGTTTTCTTTATTTTGAACAGGCGGCGCAAGAGCATCTTACGTTCATCATCACAGTGAGCAGTGCTCTTGTGGTTTTTATTATTATGTACATTCTGGTATATATCGAATTCTTCTTCTGGTGCCGTCTGAAACTGTTGGCTGTTCTGATTTGGATCTGCTTGCTGGCCATTGGATATGTGTCTATTTTCGACAAGGGGAAAACTCACCTTGCTGCATGGGAACAGGTATTTATGCCTGTTTATTAATTTACAGTGTATTAATCTGTCACCTGGTTCTTCCCCCAAGAGCGCAAGACTGGATAAATGATAGCTTTCCCCAACCTCTGGTACTCCGTGTGTGATTTAGACTTCCAGCTCCCATCTCCTTGACCATTAGCCACACTGGTTGTGGTGGATGAGACCTGTAATCCCAAACATCTGGTGTTGGAAAGGGCCGGTATGTGGACGCTTCCCTTCCCCCCCCCTCCCCCCCCCCCTCCTGACCTCCTCCTCGTGAACTCGGCTGGATAGTGCCTGACAGAAAAGAACGAACCCAAAGAGTTGAACTTCATGGATGAATGGAAATTTACAGCTTAGTTTCCTAAGTCTAAGTTACTGTTGTTCGTTGTTGTTGTTGTGATCATTATTGCATTGCATTGCATTGCATTGCATTGCATTGCATTGCTATCCTGCTGATCTTCCTGTGAGGAGTCCAGAGCGGCTTGTGTAGCCCTCCTCCATTTCATTATTTCAACAACAACCCTGTGAGGGGAGTTGGGCTGAGAGTGACTGGCTGAAAGTTACCAGTGAGCTCCATCACTGTGTGGGGACTTTGAGCCCAATCTCTTGGGTTCCCCATCCAGAGCACAAACTTCCATGCCGCATTTGCTTGGCGTTTTATCCACTCTGGCACATGCACTCTCTCCATAATACTGTGTTTCCGTAAACACTTTTAAAAATCCATGTTTAAAAGACATGGAATGCCTTCAAATTTAGGGCAGTCTGGCTATCCCTAGACACTGCTTATTATGCAAATGGACATGATTAATCACCTGCAGGGTGGAGAATCGTTTAATTATGACATCAGTTTGCAAAACTAATGCTTCTTTGATTACGAGCAGTTAGGGGCTCCATTGAGAATTACAGATGGGGATATGCCTGAGAAATGTTATCTGAAACTGGGGGGGGGGGGGGGAAGGGGGGGGGAGAGAGAGAGAGGGAGAGAGATTGGTGTTGCCTGCCTGCCTGAAATGGATATTAGGAATATACACAATAACTTTGTGTATATATTGTGTGTGAGCGTGGTTCTAAGGTATTCATGGCCCCTGGACAGATGACATCATAAAAGGCTTTAGAGCTTCTCATTAAACTGGGATTATGTAAAAATGAGAGCCGTTTGCTTTACAAACTGCCTGCATGCAAAAATGTGTGTGATGACCAGAACGGCAACTTTTCCAGTTGCACGTCACGTGAATGCTGCTTTTTCTTTTATTGTTATGGTAATATCCTAGCCTTCCTTCCAAGAAGTTAAGGTCACCTTCCTGGATCCGCGGTGCCTGGGTCGTTGTCTTGTTCTGACAGCCATGCTAGGAGGCAGATTAGAGCGAGTGGCAGTGTGTTTGCATCTTGTGTTTGCACCTCACTTTATGGGCTCTCCTCCAAAACTTGGCCTCACTCCCCATGATGGGCATGTTCCTCATCCACGTGTAGAAGGACCAGTGTATGTGTTACATTCACATCCTGCCTTTTCCTCCAAGGAATTTACGTCATTGTAGGAATTGAAGGCTGATGTGAGATAGCTTTAGCAGAGAACCAGCAGCCCAATCTGCACAGGTCCAGTGCCTGTCAGGGTTTAAATAAGCCCTGCTGGATGACAGCATGAGCGGTCCCCTGCTGTGAATATCCAAACCCGGGATGGTTGGGCAGTTGATGCAGCTTGTTGTGGCATGTGAACCTTGGATGGAAGGACAACCCAGCCAGAACCCACGTGGTAGAGTTCTGGTTGGATGGCTCACCACAGCATCAAGCCCCTATTCCTGGGTCCTCATGATACAGCTGGCCACAAAACCTGCCCATGGTGGCTTGAATATTTGCAGTGGAGGCTGGCATGGGCGGCAGCCTTCTGTGGATTAGTTAAGCCACGGTGGCTACCGGGAATCATGCGAACCACCCCACCGATTGGCCTGAGGTCACCCAATGAGGCCAAGTGAGGACTTGATGGCCAAGTGAGGACGCGGCACCCGATTCTCGACACCTTGACTTGATGGCCAAGTGAGGACGCGGCACCCGATTCTCGACGCCTTGACTTGATGGCCAAGTGAGGACGCGGCACCCGATTCTCGACGCCTTGACTTGATGGCCAAGTGAGGACGCGGCACCCGATTCTCGACACCTTGACTTGATGGCCAAGTGAGGACGTGGCACCCGATTCTTGACACCTTGACTTGATGGCCAAGTGAGGACGTGGCACCTGATCCTCCCACTCCAGCACTAGCTGTCCCACTCCACCGTTTCTCAGTATACCTCTCATTTTGTTTAGTTCTCCGAATGTTTTTATGAGCACTGCTTCCTTTGTAATGCCTGCTTTCCTCTTGTAGTGAGCATATTTCATGATTTTGGGCAGGCGCTTGAAAAATAAGCCTGGTTCTTTTGCAGGTGCCCTTTTTCCTGTTCATCATCTTCACGGTGTACACCATGCTGCCCTTTGGAATGAGAGAAGCTGTGATTGTCAGCAGCGTTTCAGCGTTGTCCCACATCGTAGTCCTGAGCATAGCTGTAACGTCCGGTGACAAGAAGTATCAGAAGGACCTTGTGTATCAGGTAAGGCAAGAGTTTTAGAGAGAGAGACGGGGCTCAAGTTTGCTTCCTCTCCATTGCTCTTCCACCAGTAAGCAAGCCCACTGAATTCATGCAGGACTTTGCGATGGAAGTGGGTCTGTTACCTTTTTAAAAATGAGTTTCATGTACTTGTTTTAGAATTGTATTCATTAAATTTGTTTGTGGTTGTAAGCCACTGTGAGAGCTGTTTGTGGTATAAAACTGCAATGCAAGTCAAATAATTGAATTATCTTTTATGTATCCATTTTGATATTCCACAATTCATTTATTTATTTCTGCACCATCCTTTAGCTGCAGCTCTCTGGGCAGTGCCACAATCCAATTTGAACAAATTTGCATTTTAACTTGGTTCAGCATATGCATTTTAGTCAATGGGTTTAGTAATGGGTTTAAATATGTAAATGGATAAAAAACAGGATTTCTCAAAGTAAGAAGAATGTAGTCTTTGTCTGATAATGCATTCATGCCTGAGAGAGGAAAGAGAAATATTTTTAAAAGAAAATGCTGGCAATTTTATAACATAAATTTAAAATATTTTTGAACCACTCTGGCTGCCCAGTTAATCCAGTGTACTCCTCTAGTCTATTAAAGGGCTTTATTATATTAATTTAACTGGCAGTTGATCATTCATTACAGTCCTGTTCTTTACACACTCAAGCACATTTGTTGGAAGGATGTGTGGCGGTTAGAAACACTGCATCCTTGATTGAAATTTGCCTTTCTCTGTGTATATTTGTTGTTCTTAATTGTGCTCCAGTGCCAGCACTGACTGTTACCCCCTTGCCGGCTTTGAAACCCTGGCAGCCTTCTTTCCAAGACCCAAGCAGAATCGTGGGCAAATCCAGAAGCAGTAAAGCAAATATTCATTCAAGTAGGGCCATGAAAGGTTTTGGAGGACGAGACTACTGTTTTGGAGGTCGGACACTGTCTGCAGAAAACAAACATGCACCTGCTGAGTTGGACTGTACCACTTATTTGGAGCAGCAGGTTAATCAGTCCTAGAAAACAGATTGCAGAGATGAAGCGTATCCTGCATTTTTGTCAGTTTATTATTTTTAAGAGTCCTCCTTTGGGAGAGGCAGGGATCTCCTTTACAGTTTTATAATTTGTGCTCAATTCCAGACGGAAATATTTTTTGTGTGTGGAGAGGACTGGGCGTGTTCCTGAATTACTTGGAAAAAGGAGTTTATCGTGATTTTATAGCAACGAAGAATATAAACCAGCTGGCCAGTGAATTTTCACAAATGTTTGGCAGCACCAGTGTCTAGTCATACAACTTTTGAAATCTGATAAACAGCTCAGTACCCAGAGGCAGAGGCTCAGTGATTCAGAACCTACATGCTTGAGGTGTGTGTGTCATGTCTGTGTGAGTGAGGTAACTCATTTCCTTCCCCTGGATGGAGGCTTTTTGGTTAAGTGATGCAACTCCTTCTGTTTAACACTTTGCTTTCCCTTTGGTACTGGGGAATCTCAGCTTTCTTGGGACAGATTCACCTGGACTTTTGATTACTGGTTTGTTGTGAAATGCCTTCTCCATATCCAAACACTACATTGTCACACTGAGCTGCATTAGCTCAGTTTCAGTCCTCTGCGGAAATGGGTACAATTTAAATGCTAGGAGAAAAACCAAACCAAGGCAAAGGAGGAAAAAAAAACTTTATGGAGCCCTTTGTCCCTTTAAAAAGAAAAGATCAGTTTGAATCAAGATGCTCAGCAACCTAAAGGAAGCAACCTAGGAAGATCAACGTTATGGAAGGGCTCTTTAATAGGTTGGGGCCGGGCTACATCTTACATAGGAGAGATGATCTCCTGAAGCATTTGAATGAGCTTACACCAACCTCAGGGTGTGTTTGTGCTGGTTCTCTGAATTTGGTCAGAGCAAAGATTGAGGAAAAAGGTATGTGAAGTTGGTTGTTCCAAGAGTGATAACACAGTTTCCTTGTTTGGAGAACGCAGGAAACTTGAGTAAATGGAAGCCTTCCACAGTGCATGCAGATGCACCATGAATGACAGGGAAACTGAGAGGAGTTACCTGTATGGGCAAAGGCTTCTGTCTCAGCTTAAGATGAGCTAGTGGTCTTCCAAAGAGGGCTACTTGATGGTTATTTACAAGTCTGGTACTGTTTTTGACTTTGGAGAAATAAATGTACACCCTTTGTCAAATTGTAGAATATGTTGGGAAGATGTGAGTGTTCAATTTGTGCCGTAAGTGCTTGTGTACATTCCATATCTGTGAAGAACTACATGTGAGGCACATGTATGGGAAAATTCATGTTCTGTGTGGAAGAGTCTGGATTGACAAATGCAAGCCATTCCAGAACTGAATGCTCTTAATGTGCTTTCTTTCAGTTTGCCAGCAAGCACCATTTGAATTTCACTTTTAGTTTTTTGGCTGGATTTCAGCTCAGGGGAATGAGGTGCTTTTTCTTTAAAAACTATCTGTATTCCCAAGCCACTAACTGCATGGCACGCTCCTTTGTTTAAAAGTTTTCTCCAGGGCATTGTACAGTCATTTGGTGATTTAGAAGAAACTCACAGTCAAATCAGATATGACATTTTCCTTTCTCATTGTTAGAAACCACAAGTTTACTCTGCTTTAGGTCTACTTACATCACCCCTGCAAAGCTAAAGGTCCAGGAAATACGTAGAACGAACTAACATCTAAATGCTTGCAAGTTTTGTTTGCCTTCCCCCTAAACTGCAGTCATCGCAAAGTGCAGTGGGATTTGTTTTGCTCTCCCGAGTGCATTTGCCCTTTTTATGCTATCCTGGAAAGTTGCATCCTTTAAATGGTAGCAGTGGGACATTGCGCACATATCCTTCGGCTTGAATATGCCAAACCAGTGCTTTCTTTGTAAAAAAAAAAAAAAAAGTGCCGGAACTCACGTCGCCGCCGGCAGTAAGCACTCAGTGCGCGACCACACACACCCATCCCAAGCCAAGCAGCATTCCCATCCCAAGCCGAGCAGCGCCCTCACAATCTCAGCACGGACACACAAGCAGCCCGCAGGCACCATGTTAATGAAGTTTGCTGATGACCTGCTATGCTGACAGGCGATTCAAAATCACTTTGTAAAATCCATTGGAAAAAAGGGTGCCGGAATGCTGTTCCGGTGCGTTCTATGACAAAAAAAGCCCTGTGCCAAACCATGGTCGAGAATATGTAGCTATGGTTTGTTTTGGTGCCTGAATTGAGAAAGCATCCTTTCTGACTGCTTAGCAAATCAGAATTGGAATCCATGGCTTGCCAAACAAGATTTTGGCACGAGATCTGGATTGATGAACCAGAGTTATGGTCATGACTCCAGAGGTTATCATAAGACGAAGACTAGAGTGTACTTATTAAATCAGCTTCTGAGGGGGAGGGGAATAAAAGCACAAAGCCAACTTTAAAGATGGGTTTTGGAAGTCTATCTCATGCTTTGAGTTCTGTGCCACTGTTTATGAAACCATTTTGGGCCTATGTTTGGATGTCCCATCGGTGGAAAAACTTGTTCTAGTGATGTATCGATAGATTTACAAGGCAGGGCAAGCGTCATTCACTTGGACTATAGAGACGGCGTTGGTGCATCCACACATAATGCTAAACCATGCAATAGCACAACTTTGCTAATCACCCCATAGCATCTGAGCATTGCATGTCACCAACAGAGCGGGCAGGTTCAAGGCAGGGAGCTCCAGGCTCCTGGAATTGACTCGGAAGAGACATGCGATAAAGAGAAGCCCAGAGTAATAAAAGAGCAAAAACCCAGCGGCAACAAGAACGAAAAACGAAAGTGCAAACCCTCCACTCCTCCACTAGAATGGTTAGCCAGTCTAGTTGAAGGAAAGCTACCTTCCTGATTTCATAATCGGTCACTGTGTTAAAATGGGAAACCACAGGGAAATGTTATTGTATGCAAGTCCAGCTGTTGTGGGGACATCTGAAGCTGCTGCAGTCAAAGCTGGGACTTCTGGTTAGTTGTTAGTAGGTCGGTTTGGCTTTTTCTCTTTAGTCCCAGAAGCAGTGGTTTTCTTTGGTTTCATCTGAATTGTGCAGAGAACTGCAGTAGAGAAAGAAGGAACTTTCCTATCCTCTAATAGTTCTCATCTTCTGTTTCCTCCTTGGTTCATTCCCCCTGCACAGAAGTTCATAACACAAAAAAGAACCTCCTCAAGTTATTAAAATATGTAATTTCATTTTCTGCCTGTTCTAATGCACATACTAGAAGTTAAATCACAATGCATGCACTTGATGAGTTAATATCCTTACTCTACAATGGTGTTTCAGTTTGTTAATACTGGTTATTAAATCATACAATTTTCAAAGCACAGCTTCTTTTTCTTTCTGACACTTCACCAGAGCAAACGCTTGCCTATAAGTTCATTAATTTTCCCTCAGTTGCCTTTCAGCTGAGCAAACACCATTGCTTTCATGATTTTTAAATGACTTGAATTCATATCAGAGTTCGAGGGTAAGCCTCTGTACAAAGAGCTTGTTAAAAGAGAAATGACCTTGCATCATCTTCCAGTCAAAGAAAGGTTATTGCTTCTTGTTCAAATAGGGTGAAAAATCACATCACTTTGCAGATACTGAAAAATTAAGATCTGCTGCATGAAGCGGACTGCTGATTTGTAATATATCAAGTCAAATCCAGAAGACTCCTACAGTGCAAAATTGGGGGTAGAAGAGATGCAGAAAGGCGGGAATATGTGTCCAGATTTGCATGTTTTTTCCCCCTTAAAACCAACTGGTTGGCACAGCGGAACTGTTCTATTCACAATCATGTGCTCATTTCTTCAGTAACTTTGCTTGATCAGTGCTAACATTGGCGAGCAAATAGTAGTTTATCGCCTGCCTACATGAGTTGAATTTGGCCTCTTCTGGTCCTTGTCTAGGAAGCTGCCTTATATCAGAGAGCCCGTGTGGTGTAGTGGTTGAGAGTGCAGGTCTGGAACTCAGGCGATCTGGGTTCGAGTCCCTGCTCAGCCATGGAGCCAACTGGGTGACTCTGGGCCAGTCACAGACTCTCAGCCCAGCCTACCTCACAGGGTTGTTGTTGTGGGGATAAGATGGAGAGCAGGAGGAGGAGAATGATGTAAGCCACTTTGTTGTAAAAAAAAATCAGGATATAAATCTAATAAATAAATAGATTTATTAAAAATATACTTTCAGACCCTTTGTTCACCTTCCGCTGTATTGTCTACTGTGGCAATGGTTCTCCAGGGCATCTTCTAGAACTCAGGACCTTCTGCATGAAAACAGCGTGTTCTGCCCTTGTGCTGTGGTCCCTTTCTAATATGTTTGGCTTGGCTTTGGTATCTGTTGATGTCTTTGTAGAAAGCCTCCACCTTAGTCATCTTCTAGGGAACTTGGCAGTTCTGAGAAATTTTCCCCTCCGCTTTGTGTTCAGGGCTCTCCTTAAAGTACTACTCCAGCCTCCTCTAGGAACTGGCTTTGTACAGACAACTGTGGAAGTGGGTTTTACAGGCCTGTGAGACTGCGGTATCATGTACACAAGTCCAAAGAAAACAGAATAACCTCAGGGTCTCATAGTTGACTCAGTCAGCAGCATGGAATCTCCAGTATGATGTGTGGTTGGATTCATTGGTTAAAGAAATTGGGGCCTCTGCGTATGGCCGAAGGGAGAGAAAAGCGTAAGATCACATCATGATTTGGGGATCTTTTCTTCATTTCCTCAGGTGCTCGCCAACGCTTTCATTTTCCTTTGTGGGAACCTGATGGGTGCATTTCACAAGCATCAGATGCAGGATGCGTCGTGGGATCTGTACAGATACACTCTCAAGTGTATCCAAGTTCAGATGAAGCTGAAGATCGAGAAGAGGCAACAAGTGAGTGAACTGGTTTTTCAAAATTATAAACCTGCACTTCTTCTTGGCACCATTTTTCTGTGATATGTAGAAGGTGTGGAGCTGAACAGTCCTTAAGGTCTCAATCCAGTTTACTTAGAGCATCCAAGAGAGAAAACAGTAGCCTTTAATGTTGACTAACGTAGAAGTCAACATTAAAGCCCCAAAGTCTTCTTCAGGCCGAAGCACCATGGATGACTCCAGGGAGCAAGATTAAACACAGTGCTTGGTGAAAGATGTGAGTGAGTTCAGCCATGCATCCTACTTCCACACCATGCCAACTCTAGATTTCGGAGGGTCCTTGGGCCAGACACCCTCCAGAGGTCCCTCCCTTAGTGAGTCAGTTGAGACTTAGTGGGTCACCACCATTGGCAAGAGATACAGATGCTCTTTACCTTCTTTCTCATTGTTTGTTCCACTTGCTTGCTTGAAGGACAGAGACCTAGTGAACAAGTTGGTAACACGTCTAAAGCTCTCCTTCCTCATCCATTATTTTCTGTTTTCTCCAGATCTTTCCCCTAAATCCCCAGGTTTCTAGTTTTGCAGTATTGGTGTTATTTAGCATTACTCAAAAGTTCCTCTTTCCTCTCAGGAAAGCCTGCTTTTATCAATACTGCCAGCTCACATCTCTATGGGGATGAAACTGGCTATCATAGAACGTCTCAAAGAAAGCAGCGATAGAAAGAAACATGACAACAACTTCCACAGCCTGTATGTGAAGCGGCACCAGAATGTTAGGTGAGCAACATAACCTTTCATGGTTCCTATAACTGTTATTTCTATGGGCCCAGTATCTACAGACAGCATCCAGTTCTTCCCACTGCCACTTACAGTGGGAAGGTGTTCCATGGTGGATCAGTCTTGGATCGCTCCATAACATGTGTGTTCTCCAGAGAAGTGGCAACTCTCTTTACAGAGATCCCATCTTGGTGGAATTTCCTTCCCTGGCATGAGCGTTAGACTCCCTAATGAACAGATCATAAAATCATTTTTCCCCTTAGTCCTCATTTACTGCTGACGTTGGTCTGGAGCTTCAAAATGGTTACTGCTGTTTGCTTTGCTTTTGCTACTCTGGTTTTACTGCTACCATCTTCCGTTCAATATATTTTGCTATATGCTTACAATATCAATTTTGATTTTTAAGAAGATGCTTTATGATATTATTTAAAATCTATTTATACGAGTGGGTTATATCAGACATATTTGCATACCTTGAAGGTGGAGTCGCCCTGCAAATAAGCTCTGTGAACAACCCATGATGCCGGGGGGCAGGGGGTTGCCTTCCCCTTGCAGCCAGTGCCAGCACATCTCCCCGGCACCCTTGCGGTGGAATCCACCTTCTGTGGACCCTGGCTAGGTCAGCAGGCTTTTTTCTATTGCTCCTCTGAGTGTGTCCTTCCTTTGCTGGCTCCCATTGGGAATTCTACCCACCCTTTCACTAGCCTGTGTCACCGGCCGTGTGGAGACCACGTACTTTAAAATATCTGCATAGGGATTATGTCTGCACTGGACCAAAATTGCAATATGTACTGGAGAAGCTGCATCACATTTGCCTCCACTCGGAGATCTAAGTAGAGTTGGTTTCACAAGATAAGAAGCCTAACAATGGAATTAACACCTTATACACGGCCAGTCGCTGCAGAAAAGCAAAGGGATAATTCGAGGGCTGGTGGCAGGGAGAAGATAAGGGGTTTCACTGAATCTCAGCAAGGCTTAAAGGCCCTTTTGTCTGACGTAGGAAATGAAAGAGAATTACATATGTGACTGAACTCTATGTCCTTCCTTAGTATCCTGTATGCAGATATTGTTGGATTCACTCGCCTGGCAAGTGACTGCTCTCCCAAAGAGCTGGTGGTGATGCTGAATGAACTCTTTGGGAAATTTGATCAAATTGCAAAGGTAAGTGACTTTGTGAAGAGACTCTTTCAGTGAATGTGGGTCTATAAATATCTATTCAGCACTGAGACTTAGGAATTGTAGGAATGGATGCAAGCCAGTCTGTGGTTTGGCCATCAGGTCTTGGGTTCATACATGCACATTCCCTGCCTGACCACTGTTGGCCATTTGCATCCAAACTGGGAAACTGTGGTTTGCCCTCCAAACCTAGATTAAGCTATTCATATGATGGTTTGGACATCAAGTGCAACACAGATTTTGACAGTTGAGATGCCCAAACCTGGAAGATACTCTGTACGTGAAAGGAGGAAGAGGTGTATGACACAAACCTTGGTTTAGTGGTTGCATCTCAACAGGTTTGGATTGCTCAGTATTTTGACCTGTATTTTGCAAAAGAGGCAAATACTATATGCAACAACATTTTTAAACCCCCGCAAAGTTGTATAAAATATATGATGCAATTAAAAAGTTGGACAAATCTAGACAGCATACTAAAAAGCAGAGACATCAGCCTGCCAACAAAAGTGCGTATAGTCAAGGCTATGGTCTTCCCAGTTGCAATGTATGGCTGTGAAAGCTGGACCATAAGGAAAGCTGAGCAGCGAAGGATTGAGGCCTTTGAATTGTGGTGCTGGAGGAGACTCCTGCGAGTCCCTTGGACCGCAAGGCGATCAAACTGGTCAGTCCTAGAGGAGATCAACCCTGACTGCTCTTTAGAAGGCCAGATCCTGAAGATGAAACTCAAATACTTTGGCCACCTAGTGAGAAGGAAGGACTCCCTGGAGAACAGCCTAATGCTGGGAACAAGAGATGGCAAAAGAAGAAGGGGACGGCAGAGAATGAGGTGGCTGGATGGAGTCACTGAAGCAGTTGGTGTGAGCTTGGGTGGACTCTGGGAGATGGTGGAGGACAGGAAGGCCTGGAGGAATGTTGTCCATGGGGTCGCGATGGGTCGAACACGACTTCGTGACTAATAACAATGACAAAAAGTTAGAAGCAGTGTAATATAATTTGAGTCTAAAGACGGTCCAAACACGATGTTCTAATATAAAAGAGCCTTCCATGTCCTTTCAGAGGAAAGTTCTAGAAATGTCCCTTGTGTTAATCAAGTGGGCTTTATACATGTGCCTATATTTATGGAAGGTTCTGTTTCAGACCATTTTGCCTTATAAAATTATACATGTTAATGAGGTAGGAATTATGGTCTAAAAGTATTTTGTTGGTGAAGCATATCTTATTAAAGACAAAGAATCTATTGGGATGTGAACTTAATTAAGTCTTGATGAATGCAATAGAATTTAATCACTACCTGTTCCGAAACAACTTTTGTGCTAAAATAGAATTTTAAATATATTAATTATACATGTGTGCTATCTCCAGTGTCCTTCTTTCTTGCGTCTCATATAATACTTGCCTATCAGGTTGTTAGAACTTTGTAGGGAGTGGAGGAGGGTGAAGGGATGACCTTGTTGAACTTTGAGCAGTTGGGCTGTTGCTAATAAATGGTCCTGTACGTCAAGACATGTTAACACACGAGACGGCACTGCCTTCCGGCTGCGAATAGCAGAGGAAGATTGAGAATGGCCGACAAGCTGTCTCTGAGGAAACCTATTCACCGTGACTTCTCATTGGGCATTTTTGGTCATACCTTGGCTTACTCTCCTAAGATATTAGTTAATCTTTGAGGGTCCCATGGAACACTTTGCATGAGCCAGCAAGCAAACCTGGAGGTCTTTCATTAACTTATTTACCGTTTTTGCCCAAACTGGGACATGATGATTAATGGCTCTGGGGGAAAAATGCAGTCTATTAAGCCATAGGTCAAAGCTGGCTTAATATCCTGGTTGTTCTGAAATTGTTTACTGTGTTTCCCTGGTTCAGGCAAAGGAGAAATAATGACCCAGTTCCTGTGTCACAATAGTTGAATGGGAGAGAGAGAGAATGAGAGCGAGAGCGAGCTGCAAGTGGGAGCAGCTGAAAAGTCCATGGCAGCTCTCTTGCTTGGCATTGCATTTATCCATTGGCTTTTCTTTCCTTAGATGAGCTGAAATAACCCTCCTTTTCAAGTGAGACAGTGACCAGTTTGTTTGTTCTGTGCTATAAAATATACGGTTTGCCCTACTTAAGAGAGATACCTGCTAATTCATATTTACAGTGTTTCTGATGACTCGTGTGCTGTTTTTGTTTGGCAGGAAAATGAATGCATGCGGATTAAAATCCTGGGAGACTGTTATTATTGTGTCTCGGGCTTGCCTGTTTCTTTGCCAGTCCATGCCAAGAATTGTGTGAAAATGGGCCTTGACATGTGCGAAGCTATAAAGTATGTACTGAAGGAGAGTTTTAAAACTGAAAGTTTGGAAATGTTAAATTAGAGCCAGAAATATAGTTTTGGCTGAAATGCATGTCCTCATAATCCTCCGAAGGCCACCGGGTTGGAGAAGGCTGCCTTAGGACATAGGTTGAAAATGCAGGCCAAGTCTGGCTTGCCTGATACGCTCCTGCCACCCCCCTTGAATTCCCTAGATAGCCTCACCCTTCTTCCCACTCAATGATTCAGTGATTCTCCAGCTTTTATACATTTTTTCCATTCCAAAAGGTCTCTCTGTAGGCTTAAGTCACTGGCAGGAAGAGGTGGGTATTTGGGTCCCACCCTCTTTGCCTTCAGACTCACATGCTGCAAGAATGCCACCCTCCAGGGTTTTCTCAAAAATTGGGTTTGGTTTTCGGGCAGGAAGAGGTGGAATCTTCTTGGCTCAGTGGGGTTCTAGACCCAGGTTTTCCTGATCCACTTACAACTCTTTCCACTGCTCTGCAGTCTGGTTTTTGCTGTTCTTCAGAGCATGGTGTAGAGAACACCCTTCCTTTGCACACTGGTGTTGTAGCAAGCAGGGGGGATTGCAATGTACGATGAATTGTAGGTACGAAGAAGGAAGAACATGGCGCCTTCACTGTGTCTTCTGAACTGTTTTGGTAGGCAAGTGCGAGAAGCCACAGGGGTGGACATCAATATGCGTGTCGGTATTCATTCCGGGAATGTCCTCTGTGGTGTGATTGGACTTCGGAAATGGCAGTACGACGTTTGGTCTCACGACGTCTCCTTAGCTAACCGAATGGAATCAGCAGGGGTCCCTGGGTAAGCACTGCTCTTTCCTGTCTTGTGGGTTGCTGCTGGGGGTTGCTTGAGATAATTGGAACCTCGCTGCTTTGGTCGGAATAATGGAAAACGTTGGCTGGTTCTAACTGCGTCCAACTGTTCTAACTACCTGGGTGGAGTTTAGAGACCTGGTTCGGATGTCTCATGGGTTGGTTGTTGGGGTGACGCTTCAGGTTTCTCTTCAGTTTCTGGTTCATAGCCATGGCTTGCCCTGAGGTCCAAAGAATGGTTAGTGCAAACTCAAGTTTGCTTCCAAGCAAACTATTGAAACTATGGTTTGAAGTTGGTTAGTAGCGTCCATCATTGAGCCAATTTGGACATAAGATCAAACAATGATTTGATCAAGGCAGTTTGCTCCTCCTCTCCATTTGATCCTCACAAGAACAACCCTGTGAGGTAGGTTAGGCTAGGAGGCAGTGACTGGCCAAAGTCCCTCAGTGGCTTTCATGGCTGAGCGGGGACTAGATTCTGGATCTCCCGGATCTCCAGAACAGCACTCTTAGCCACACTGACACATGCCTTGCTTTATCACCCCTGGACCAGTGCGGGTTCATTTGGAAGGATGTGGACTGGCCTTGACATAAACCTTTGCAAGATTATAGGCCATTTATGTCTTCATACATTTCCTGTCTTGCCTGCCTTAAAGGAAAGCTCAAGAAAGGAGACAGGACCATTTACCAGAGTGAATCCTTCTAGTACAGTGTTTTCTTGGAGGAATAATTTTCTTGATGTTCAACTGTTGAAGTCCACAGATTATTGTCCTATCCTTGAAGGGTTTTCGTTTTTTCTTATAACATGTGCATTACTTAGCAAACCCTTTTGTTATGGCTTTTAACCACATGAGAACAGGAGGCTTAAAGGAACGAAGCTGCCCTCAAAGCACTTTCAGAAATGCTGTCTCTGTCAACAAAGAAAGGACACCTAAGGATAGCCTTTCCCGACCTGATGCCCTTAAGATATTTTGAACAATGACTCCCAGTGTTCCTGACCATTGGCTGTGCTGGCTTAGACTGATGGATGTTCGTCAGAAACACCTGGCAGGCAACATGCGATGCTAAAGAAAATGCAATGCTTCAACCATGCAAGGTCGCCCTGTTCAAATGCACTAAGACGCACGGTTTTTCTTAATTGGAATTACAGCTGTAACTAGCTGTGTTTGCTTTAGGGGCAGGACTCAGTTTTAGCACCCAAGACAGAGTTACTCTGTGTGATTCAGCCAGTGCAGATCTAGCACCACAGGCAGGAAGAACACCTGTATCTCCTCATTCATAACATTTTTCCGGGAAAGGGTCGCATCATAAAGACGCATCCGTGAACAACCTTTTCATTTCTGCAGAGTGCCTAACGAAGGGAAGCGTGCACTCTGCTTGCTTGCGCCGTGAGCAAGTGCGGCTGCCATCCCTCGTTTGATGTGGAGATCCTTGTTTGCAAAATAAGCTGAGAATAAGTAGGCTTGCAAGGTTCCGAGCTGCTTACGGAGTCCGGTCTCTGCCATGATGTTGTTCAGAATACAGCAGCGAGCTTTCCAGAAAGCTCAGGGTAATGCAGTGTCTCACTCTGAACTTGGCAAGCCGAGACTCCCGGGTTGCCCGCTGCACCAGCAACAGAACGAGTGTGTCGCCTGCCGAGGCAGCCCGCACTTAAGGCAGACTCCCTTGCATGCGTTTCTGTTGCCGTTGACGTTAGCGAAAGGCTGGAAAGTTCTTGCAGGTGGAAAAGGCTCGAGGGGGATTTATTTTTAGTCACTTTTATGGCCCTAGCTGGATTGATTGCTTTTTTCTGGTACGTGAGCTTACCTGTTTGCCCGACGGAGCTGGACGTGCTGCGGCATCCCGTATATATCCTACGACTCAGGCACTCTCTTTGCTGTCATCATCGCTTGCGGAGCAGCGCTGGGGCCTGATTTCAGCAGACACTGTACTTGCTGGCGCTCCGACCCAGACTTCCCTCCCACGGTGCTCCTACAGACTGCGGTTCCCATCAACATGGGCATAGCCAGTGGGACAAACGATGCAGTGAGCAGCAGGGGACTGGGACTCAGAGGATCCGGGTTCTAGTCCCCACTCAGCCATGGAGCCAGCTGGGTGACTCTGGGCCAGTCACAGACTCTCAGCCCAACCCACCTCACAGGGTTATTGTTGTGGGGATAAGATGGAGGAGGAGAATGATGTAAGCTGCCTTGAGCCCTTTGTAGGTAAAAGGCAGGATATAAATCGAAAATCGAAATATATCTGGAGGAAACCGGGTTGCAGAAGGTTCCTCTCTGCCTTTTGAACTGAAAAACCTCTTTAAAAAAGGACAGGTAACCTGCAGTTTTGTACCACACGTGTCCTTCTGTTCTTTCTTTTCTTTTTTTTAGAGGAAATGGACTCACTGGCATTATACTTTGTGTTCGTGGTCACAAGTCTTCTGGGCTTGTCCTATTCTGATGGGAATCAGTGTCTCCATAATTTTAATCTCTCTGTTATGAGTCCATTATTTCTCTCTGTTAATCCTTCTCAGGATGAGGGGTAAAAAAATATAAGGCTCATTTCAACACTGCTTAGTCCTCATCAGTGGATGTGCCCACACCATCAAGATCACCGCTGTTCTAGTCTGGGTGGCTTGCGTGGTTCTAAACCCTGCTTTGCAATCCGGATACAGCTTTTCTGGGAAATTAAAAGCTGGGAGAGGAAAACGGGGTTTTCCCCCATGGGAAATTAGAATGTTTTGAATGAAAAATTGTATTTCTTATCAAGATTGAATTTATTCCATACTTTTAACAACATACAGTGCATCATTTATAACTGACCCTATACAATTGTAGCATTGACGTATTTGGAAACTATTCCAAGCAACATGGTGCAACTTTACTTAGCAGCGTGGCCCACTGTTTAGTAGCGCTTACTCCCAGGAAAGCAAGCCTCGAAAGTAAAAATGCCTTAGTTTTGCACAAGCCAATTCGTAGGACTCCGTGCTAGAGCAAGCTGCAAATTATCCTACCTAAACAGGTGTCTCTTTAAGTTTTTGTCACCTGAGCAAAAAGAATGTTTGTCATTTTGCAAACCGCGTGTCATAACCAACTGAGGCCTTGTGTGCGTCTCTCATGAAGATCTCAGCACTTCGTAGGTGCAGAAATGCATCTTGGATTTCCATCTGTAGGTCTACCGCATATGCTGTTGTTCTGTCTCCGATTTATGGCAGCCCCGTGAAGGAAGGGCTCTTCAGCTCCCCGCTCGGCTCTTGCACGCTCCAGGCCGCAGCTCCCTTGACCAAATTGATTCATCTCATAATTGGTCTTCCCCTTCTTCAGCAGCCCTCAATTTCCTCTAGTGCTACTCGCTTCTCCAGTGAGACTTCCCTGCTCATGATGTGCCTGAATCACAACCAGCTCAGCTTTGCCGTTCTTGCTTTCAGAGCACGTTTGGGGTTGTTCATCTTCGGTAGGCCCAAGGTGCTTGCGAAGCTCTCCTCCATCATAGGAGATTTGATATGCCGTTTTTCAGATGGAAAAGTTGGAAGGAAGTGTTTCTCCCCCTCCAGCCAGCCCTCACGTAGCCATATAGATGAAATTCTTTCATTATTTGTCCTGGACAAGCGATGCCATGGAAGGAAAATTTGGCAAAGCCACACGCTTGCACTCTTTTTTGCTCTTGTGGCTTTTTCTCCCTCCACCAGGTAGAAATCTCATTTCCCTGGCAATCTCCTGCAGTCCAGGCCTAAACCTTGGAAGCCTCGGGTATCTTGTTTTAGCTAGCACAGACTGGTGATTAGGCATGGGGTGGGTAACAAGGAAAAGCCCCCCAGCAGTCCAAAGCACGATGTTTAAATTTGCTTGAAGAAAAATATCTGAATGGACTTCCACCCATACTGCACCACTCAAACTTTGAGAAATAATAAAGGCGCAAGATTAAATGCATCCCGCTAACGTAATTATATTGCATTGCTATTTTACCAGGTTCCTTATTCAAGCAGTACTGATTATTGTTGGTCCAGTCCTCTCGATCACTTCTCCCATTGCAGTGCCTTTTCAGCTAGGACTTTCCTGTAGGATTCTCACCTTCCTTCCCTTTCTCTCCTTTTTTCCCCTTTTCCTTCTTTGACCCTCTTCTTCTTGTCATCTTTACTTTATTTTTCTCTTCTACCAATTCCATCCAACCAGGACGGTGGTTCTTTTGCTAAGTTTAGTTCTTCTGTCCTTAACTACCCTCCCCAAAATTCCCCTTCTCTCTCTTTCTCTGACCTTGAGCTGCATTACTTCCTCCTTCCTGAGAAAAACTTCAGGACTTTGGTATTCTGACTAAATTTCAGACCTCTAAACCATGAACTTCTTCACTGAAACTGATTGGCACTTAAAATCCGTGTTCTTCTGCAGCCAAACTGAGTGCCAAAAAGGGAAGGCAGTGCTGTTTCTTCATAGTAGCTTTATTTAAAATATTTTTAATACCGCTCTTCATCCTATTTTGGATTTTATTATGGACGTCTGCAACGGGGGAGTGTTGGTTTTCCCACTGCTCTTGTAATGCTTAAATCCGGCCTGGGATCCCCTGTTGCCAAATATCTTCAATGTTGTCTTTTCTGGATTTTTTTTTTCAGTGCATGAATCATACCAGTTATTTGACTGGAAGCTAAACAATGATAGTGTTTAAATAAACAGTTGTATTGAATGTTATTAGATGATGATGTATAATGACACAATCTTGCCAGTTTTTCCTACTGAGGAAAAAAGATATACCCAATTCTCTTTTCTCCCTTCAAATATATCTAATTCTCTTTTCGAGAATATTCATATGACGACAAGTTGCTGGAAACTGACCATTTTAAGAAAGGAAGAAAGATACATTTTTGGACCATGACTTTGCAGTGATGTGTCCTTTAGTATATTGTTTTGAGAAACTCTAGCACTAGCCAGCTGAGTAACTCTTGGATAATGGTGGGTTGTGTAATGCTTAGAGACGTTGCTTTTGAGAGCTTCTAGCCTGTTTTAAGAGCCATTGAGCAGCCTGTTCAAAGAGGGAGTAGAAAAGGAAGAGCACTTTTTGTATAAATTTCAATAAACATTGATCAGCTGTCTTGGCACACATGCAAATTGTCTTTGAAAACAAGATGACCAATTTGCATAGTCTTGACCTCCGAGCCGCTGCTAATCTGTGTGTCCCAATGTGCATATGATTAACATTAATTTGCATTCAATTCCTGTGCATCTATTTGTGATGGCATCTATTAATAATAGCAGTAACGGTGTTGTCACGAATGGGGACAATGCTTTGCAAGCCAACACAAGGTGAGGGAAGGAAAGGCAGATCTGTTGCTTAGGAAGGCTGGAGTCCAAATTTCAGCAGTGATGGAGATGAGAAGGAGATGGAAGAGTGGAAATCAACTGCCTATTGCGTAAGGTCCCTTATATCTATTTTTTTCCTAATAGCCTTGTGTACAAGAGTTCAGCTGGTTGAACTCAGCTTCAGCTGCTTGTATTAGGGTAAGAGAATATGGCATTACCAGAAAGTTTGCTGGAACTATTTTGTGATCCAAAACGAAATGATACCCATATCCTAACATACTGGAGGAATAAAACCCACTGTCATATTATGTAATAACCAAGGCGATTGAACCAGTCAATCCTAGAGGAGAGCAACCCTGACTGCTCTTTAGAAGGCCAGATCCTGAAGATGAAACTCAAATACTTTGGCCACCTAATGAGAAGGAAGGACTCCCTGGAGAAGAGCCTGATGCTGGGAACAATCGATGGCAAATGAAGAAGGGGGCGGCAGAGGATGAGGTGGCTAGATGGAGTCAGTGAAGCAGTCGTGTGAGCTTAGGTGGACTCTGGGGGATGGTGGAGAACAGGAAGGCCTGGAGGAACATTGTCCATGGGGTCGCGATGAATCGGACACAACTTCGCGACTAACAACAACAAGACTCTCCTGCTTCCCTAAACCATTTCACCCTTTCTTCACCCTTATGCCTGAAACACTTTGCTCTTAATATGAGCTCTTTTAATACAGGTTCTTGAGCAAATTACTCCTGTTAATCACATCAGTTTGAGCAATAAGTGTCACTGGCCACATCCACCATTCTGTGAATGGGCAAACTCCACCCATGTGCCCAGCATGTTATAGGAGCTCTCACAATTCTCTTGCAGGATTCAAAAGATGCCCACCAAACCAAAAGGGTGGGGGGTCCCATCTTAAGACAGCAAAACAAAACTGTATACACCTCGAATACATGATTCCCACAAATTAACTAACGGTGTGTCTTTGCGTGTGCGTCCGCACATGCCCAAAGTTGTTAAATTTGTGGAATAGATAAATCTTGGGCGTGCCTCCTTTTGTAAAGGGTTGTGGACGCTGCACAAGGACGCACTGCAGCAGGGAAGGAGCGCGAAGGAGCTGTAGCATCCTGGATTGGCCTGGCAAGGCCGGAAGCTGTTCAGAGGCACAGCCCTGGCGGCTGCCCCATTGAGATGGAAATGAATCGCTTGGGCTGACCTTTCCGCAACAGTCCTGCTCTTTTGTGCCTCTGTCTTTCCCCTCTCCAGCCGCGTACACATCACCGAAGCGACGCTGAATCACCTAGGCAAAGCCTATGAAGTGGAAGACGGGAACGGGCACCTCAGAGACCCGTATCTGGAAGCCATGCATATAAAGACGTTCTTGGTGATCGATCCAAGAGTAAGTGTGCTGTTGCCCAGCAGTCCGCCCATGCACGCCACTTCTCCCGTTCGGTTTGGGGCGCTTCCAGGCAAGCTTCTCATTCTGCCACTGTCCTGTCTTGTTTGCGGGATTTTGCAGGAGGCTGCTGCCTTCTGTTGGTTACCCTCCTGTGTTCCCCCACAATGCAATCAGTTTTTTTTCTTAAGAGAATAGATCCATCAGGTAGGAAATAATTTCCGAAGGGGGCATCCAGAGGCGTCTGCCTTGAAGCAATCCAGGTTAGAAAACAGAGTGCCTTCTATGATGCCACTGACTGATGGACCGTGATGTTGTGTTGTTCTTACAAAATATTTGCAAGCAGCAGCATCTGTGGGAAACAATGGGTTCACATGGGAGTTGTGGAGAAGAGTGAGGGGGGAGCTGTGTGCATTTCTTTTAGGAAGCAGGGGACAGTGGCAGAAATTTTGGGCAGGCAGTAAAGGTCGGGAAATAATTCACAAGTCAGCCCAGGGGTGTCAGCATTCCTTCAACCTGGGCACTGAATTCCATTTTGCAGAAGGGGTTGCATTTCGGTGGTGGATGTGGCCAGAGTCAGAAGGGGTGAGGACAAAAATATTGAAACATCCAGCCCATTTTAGCTTAAAGCAGTCACTAAGCTGTATACAATTTAGCAGGGGGACAGCTGCACAAAAGCCCGGATGCAATAATTGGCAGCTAGAGGAACGCTGGGGGGGTGGGGTGACCCCTGAGGAACCTCAGCAGCTTTGACCCCCGGTGGGGTGATTGGGACCTAGCATTTTGGGTTCTGTGGTCCTGCGATAGGAGGCAAGGAACCCAGAAATGGGGTTGTGGGAACAGAACAAAGTGAGCAGTAGAGGGAGAAGGCTTGAGACCGTGGGAGGGAAAAGTGACAGGAAGGGAGTTACAAAAAAGATTTAAATTCAGGGCTTGTTGTGGATGTGGGAAGCCAAATCTTGATAGGTGTGCTGGTCCCTTTCAGTTGATTTGGATTAACAAGCCAGGCGTGATTTGTTGTGTGTGTGTGTGCGCGCGCACACATACGCATATACACTAGAAAAAACTTGGGGAGCCTTAATGTGAGAGGAATAGATTGCAGCCTGGAAATCTGCGTTTTGCAGTTGAAGTAAGTTTATCAAGCGTGCCTGCCTAATTTTGGTCGCATGGCTAGATTTGGCTTTACTGCCGCTGTGGCTGGTTTCGGTCCAGGTTTTGTCCTGCAGAGCAGGTGGGAGACAAAAACGCCAAGGGCAGGGGCACGGAGCTGGGAGAGAACGCATGTTACCCTGATTGCATAACGAGGCTAAAATGTCTGAAACGACGTTCAGTTGCCATGGACCACAGAACCACGAAACAATGGCTTTTAGATTTCAGTCTCCAAGGAACACTTTAAGTATCCAGAAAAGGCAGTTCTTTAACTGTGTGTAATTAAAGAAATACGCTTTGAGCCTCCCACATTCTGCCTTAAGTGCTGCCCTACCGGCATTCTGAGCAGAAGTGATTAGAAAAGGAAAGGCGCTCTGCCTGGTAAAATCTAGTTTATTTTGCTCAGCTCAGAAACAAAAGTGTGTTTTGTATTCCAACCATTTGCAGAGTTCAGGCAGCAGACGGTTCGCTAGATTCATTGCTTTTTCTTGTCTTTTTTCTTTTCCTTTTTCTGCCTTACACATCTCCAGCGATGGAGTATTAGAACCAATCTAGAAAATAATGAGAGTGCAGGACAAGGGTCCCAGCTTGGCATCCCTTCAAGCAGATCAGGAGAAAAAACCAAGTGTGGCCTTTATAATGTTAAAACTGGCCAGCTAGCCTGGCTTTGCGATACAAGAGAAGGGCATATCAGGGACCATGAACCAACAATACCAGCTCCGTTAGAATGGGCTGGATGGTAAGGGTTTGATTCCAGGTGGAATAATGAGCATCGGGAAGGCTGCCTTAATACCTGGAAAAGGATGTACTGTATGACTGTGCTTGTATCTCATGCTAAGTGGAACATCACAGTTTTCCAGAGCAGGAATGGGTCGCAGCTCAGCTTGGGTTTGTGGGCCTTCCCTTTCCCCTCTTTTATTCTAAATGGCCAGGAGGAGCTTCGAAGGTTTTGCTTGTCGTCAAGCTAAATGTGACATTTCTAAGGGCCCGTGGTAGCTTGTCGCCGAAAGAGCTGCCGGTGCTCTTTTCGCCACTGTGTGGGAGAGTGTGGGATAGAATATGGTCCCAGTGCCGAGTTCCCTACCCCCATGTTGCAGTGTAGCCTCATGTGCTATGTGAACAGACGGTTAATTGCATCATGCTCTCTAATTTCCATCTGTGCTTTGCCCTGTTTTAGTCTAAGCAGAAAGCTTCCAACCATCACCTGCCTCAAACCAGAGTGCAGGACGGCTTGAAGATGCGGGCCTCGGTCCGGATGTCGCGATATTTGGAATCCTGGGGAGCAGCCCGACCTTTCGCCCATCTAAATCACCGAGAAAGCGTGAGCAGCGAGACCGCTGCGCCGAACCGAAAGCGTAGAAAGGTGATGCCGCGTCACTGCGCTTTTAAGTTTTGGTTTCATCCTCAGACGGCGGAGGAATTGGAAACAACAAAAGGACAGGAAAACAGTGGGCAGAAAAGGTCCAGTGGATGCATCAGTCTTGCGGTTGACGCCATGAAAACCCAAAAGCACGTTCCTTGGCGTCACCTTTTGTCGTGCTTCTCAGATGTGGTTTATACACACCATGCTGCGGAGACGTATTTGGGTTTTTTACTCAACTTCTTTCAGGGGTATGAGCAGAAGAGTGCAGTGGCCTTGGCATCCTGCTTGTGGGCTTCTCGTGGGCTTCTCAGGGGCATCTGGTTCTCTGCTGTGGGAACAGAGTGCTGCAGCATCTGGGTAGAGTTTGCTCTGCTCCAGCGGAGCTGCCTATTCCTGGAATGAAGCTTACCCCAGTCCTCAGATATTTATCAGGTTTTCTGTCTTCCAGGGAACCTGCAGTTTTGGCTTTTCTGTGCCTTGCTAGCATAAATACGTTGTTTAGCTCACTGAATTCATTTATTCCATAGACATGTTTAGGGAAAAAACATATTTCCTGTCCACCCTTCTCTCTTTTTTAGGAGATCGCTTTGCAGCTAGCAAGTCGCCAGAGGACTTCAGAGAGGCAAGTCCATTGTTATTCTGTTTATTTTAAACACAGGTAGAGACACATTCCTTCTTTTGATTTGCAATCAACAAAGCAACTAAAAAGAAGTTACAAAACCTGATTAAAAATGGCAACAAAGACCTGCATGAGCAACAGAATTAAACTGATGCAGGTGCTGAAACAGAGAGTTTCAATGAATTCCAAAAGAGAATTGGAAGAGAACTGGAGAAGACTTTGTGGATCTTTGGAGCCACTCTCAAGGATACTATGTTCTGTCCAGCAATCACAGAGCAGATCCTCCAAGGAGGATCAAAATAGATAGATACATAGGGAAACGTCTGTCCCTCTGCTAGTGTAATCAAACCAAATAACTGAGATTTTAAACCTGAAAGTCTGTTTATAAGAGTTTAAGAATGGTGCATTTCCAGACAGATTTGGGTAATGAAAGTGATACATTTTAATTTCAAGGGAAAATGCGCTAGAGAGGCCAAATGGCATCACCTCTCTCTCTCTCCCCTCTCTTTCCTTGTGCATTTATTAGTTTGGATGGATCTAGACAAGAGCAGTTATGTTCCCCTTCAATTGCACACTATAAGTGAGTTCTTCCTTCTCCGTATGTTTGTATCCGTTTCCCATCTGTGCAGCATGGAACATCTGGATATTTTCTTGCTCATTTCTTTCTTTTCTCCCTTCCTCCAGCAAATCAAATCATTTTTCTGTTGGCTGAAAAGATAACGTTAGTTGTTCATGCTTCCCGGTTCTTCGTTCTTTGGTTTTCTGTGTTTCGTTGACTTCTGTTTGTAGTTCCTAAAAGTGTTTTTGTTTTGGATTAGGACAAGTGCAGCCACTTGCTAAACGTGGGTGTGTGAACGGGTCTGCACATTTTCTGGATTTGCTTGCTTGAAACAGAATTAGAAAGTGTGTAATGATTTTGTGCTTTGTTCTTTCTTTTCCTGCATTTTTGGGAATCCTGGCTTTCTGTCTGTCCTTAGAAATTCTTCACAGAAGGGGAGGATGGAAGAAGACATTAATGATAAAATGTTGTCGACCATTGAGGGCCTAAACTCAGCCAGGTAAACGGCCAATCTTGTTTTCCTGTTCTTAGGATAACTTGCTTCATTTACGGAAGGAAGGAGGAGGAAGATGGGAGTGTTCTTGTGCTTATTCTGTAGTACAAGGTTGCACACTGGCTTAAAAACATGCTGCTTTATTCTGAACATGTCTGAGTGATGCAGAGCAGGCCGATGGGAATTTGCATGATGAACAAACACACCTGCTTCTCTGTACTGCTATTTTGCATGTTCCAAAAGTGAACCTTAACAGGGAAAATAAGTTCTGGGGCCTTGGAAGTCTTGCCTCTTAGCACACATGGCCGCCTTTTTGGAATCATAGTCCCAAGCCAGGAGGAACAGCCGTTTGATGCCACAATTGCAATATGAACTCTTTATTTATTTTCCATTTATATCCTGCCTTTTTCCTACAAAGGGCTCAAGACAGCTTACATCATTCTCCTCCTCCATCTTATCCCCACAACAAGAACCCTGTGAGGTGGGTTGGGCTGAGAGTCTGTGACTGGCCCAAAGTCACCCAGTTGGCTCCATGGCCGAGTGGGGACTAGAACCCAGATCATCTGAGTCCCAGTCTCATGCTCTTCACCACCACACCACCTTGGCTCTCTAACCACTACACCACACTGGCTTCACAAAACAGGAAACTGAGACAGGCTTTCCCAACATGGCTGCTGATTAAGACATTTAGTGCAGCAGCCCCTTAAGGGCACTTCCCAGAATCTGCAAAGTAGAAGCATCTTCCCTTCAGATCAGTGCAGCAGATGACAAGGAAGCAAAATGGCTTTGCACAGCTGCCTTGTGTTATCAAGTCTTGCATAACCCTCAGAAATAGAGAGGTATTAAAAAGCAATGCAAACCTTAAATCCCCATCATGTTAATTTATTTTTAAGCATTGCTATACCACCCAGGTTGGATTCAGGGTGACTTCCTCAGAGATGAAGTCCAAAGCATCCGGGCATCGGCCATCTGTCCATCCTCATCCTAAGCCATCCAAGGTGCCCTTTTCCCCTTCCAGTGTAGCAGTAGGAATACTTCGATCCGGCGTAATGGTCATCCTGTTGGACTGGGACGCAGGAGATTCGAGTTCTAGTCCCCACTCAGTCAAGGAGCTCACTGGGTGACTTTGGGCCAGCCACAGACTCTCAGACCAGCCTACCTCACAGGGTTGTTGTCAAGATAAGAGGAAGAAGAGGATTATGTAAGCTGCTTTGGGTTCCTTGAGAGAAAGAAGGCAGGATGTAAATAAATAATAAATAAAACAAGGTGCATTGTTTCATTTCCCTGATGTGTGCGTGTTTTTGCCCCAATATCTTTGTTTTCCAATGCAGGCCGTGGTGTGGCTCAAAAGACGACTTCCGTGGACTGTGCGGGTTTTTGCTGTGTTTCGTAGATATGGGACTGGAGAAGGAGGTTCGTAAGCGCCAAAGAGACTTTGCAGGAACTGTTCGAAAAGCAAATATGTTCAGAGCTACACAGGAATATAAGAAAGCACGATGAATCTGTTCCAATGTGGGGGAAATACAGAATGGACTGATCCAGGCTCGGGATTCTGAGTGCTTAGCTCTGGATCCTTGTGATTCCAGCCATGTTTGCAGGGCTGAGCTCCTCATTTGTAACAGCTGTGTGGCAAGCAGGTACCACACGGTTCCTTGCTTGGCCCCCTTGATTTTGACTGGCGCAAATAGGTGCAAATTCCATTTTGGGTCATGTTTTATCAGAATTGAAAAAAGGTGCACTTTGAGAACAGTGAGATGGAAGTCTTAAAAACTTGACTGCAGGAGGAAGTGAAATGGTCAGCTCTGTCCATGTCTGCTCTCAGTTTGGAAAGAATAACAAGCTGGGAGACAGCACAAACAAGCCCTTTTTATCATCCTCTTTTCATCCTGACTTCAGTAGTTCTTAACTTTGTAGTTCTGTGGCATCAAATTGTCTCCAACGTACGGTGATCCTGAGAGGGAAAGCCCTCCAAAATGTCCGATCCAGGATATTCCCAGTGGATGTTCCAAATCCAGGGCTGTGGCTTCCTTTATGGATTCAGTCCATCTGAACATGTCTGAGTGATGCAGTCCATATTTGGTCTTCCCTTTTGTCTTATGTCTTGGACTTTCCCTACCATGATTGTCTTCTCCAGGGAGGTTTGTCGTCACATGACGTGTCTGAAGTGTAATAGCTTCAGTTTCGTTATTTTTGCTTCTAGGGAAAGCTCTGGTTTGAGTCAATCAAGGACCCACTCGTTCCTCCCTCTGTTCGCCCAGGGTATTTGCAAAGACCAATCTATTTTGGTTTTTTTCCACTGCTGATACAAGTTTCTGCCATTTGTGGGATCCAGCGAAGAAGCTGGGTGACAGGGTTCCTTAAGGGTAAAGCTCTCCTGCAAATCAGCCAAGAAGTTAGTGAGTGAATAAAATAGTTGACCTGTGCTTTCTTTGGTGTATCTTTCCAGTATCGCACCATCCCGATCCGCAAGGTGGGAGGCTATTTCGCCTGCGCCAGCATCGTCTTGCTGTGCATGTTTTTGGTCCAGATACTCATAATGAAAACGTAAGTGCGTATCTATCTTTAAAAATTGGTTCTGTACTCGTGCAAGCAGGAGATTCAACTGGTAATGTTTTTCCTTGGACTTGTTTTGCTTCAAGCTGGCTTTGCCAGTTTAGATGTTCAAGAAAAGCTTTACCACTTGATTCTGGTTGCTTGCACCAGTCTCAAGAAAAAGCATGAAGCAGCGGAGTGTGAAAATAGCCATGAAGCTCATTAAGTGACTACGGGTTTGTAGCTGAATTGCGGCCAACCTGCCTACCTCACAGGGTTGTTATGAGGATAAATCAGAGAAACTGCTGTGGGTTCTTTGCAAGGGGGAAAAAGGTGGAATATAAATGTAATAATAATGTCATCTTAAATAGCCATAGGAAGACACCTTCTGTGTGTGAAGCATAAGCTTTGGTCCCCATCTGTCCTGCCCCCAGCTGGCCTAAATTTGATTTAGAGACCTGCAGTTGGTCGGTTGTCCCCACTCGAGGTAGGCTAGGAAGGACAACAGAAAGGGCTGGAAAGATTTGCATGTGGCTGCATAGAGAAAAGTAGAAGAAATTTGCTCGAAAACACTTTGCTAATCAGGTATTATAACCTCTGGTATACTGGTCTCTCCAAGTCTTTCTCATAGCAAATTAATGTGATTATTTTTTAGTGGTGGATAGGAGAGGGTATAACGATGCAGGGCTTGAGAAACTGCTGCTAAATTAACTCTGAAAGTAAAATTTGAAAGCTGCAAGCAGCTTGGCAGTGGAAGGAATTAAGATTTCCCTCGAGAGTACATGACTACTGAATCATGAATCGTGTTTTCCCTGAACTCTGCATCATCTCTGTTTCCACCCTCTCCTTCCCACCCTTTTCTCTCTTTCAGAACGCCAACTTTAGGAATTTCATTTGGGGTTGTAGCTATCATAATGGGTCTTACTCTCTGTGTGTGTTTTGCTGATGACTGTTGGGTAAGTAAAATAAATAAATAAAAAACGGCCCCAAGAGACTTACGCTTTGAAAAGGCGGTGGTGGGGGGAGATCAGAACTTCCCCCTCTTTTGAAAACCGTTCCAAGGGTCACCCTCCTTCATCAAGGACCTCATAAAGATTTGATAGCATCCGTTGCCATAGGAAAGATGATAAAAAGCCTTGTTTACACACCTCGCTGATGCTTCCGCCTTCTGTTTGCAGAAATGTTTCTCCAAGAGATGGCCTCCGGCTCGCTATCTTCGCACGCTTTCCCAGAAGGTGGAGACGAGGCCCTCTGTGCGGCTCCCCCTGGCCACAATAGCAATAGGCTCTCTGCTCATCACGGCCATTTTGAACTTGGTAATGCCTTCCCTCAGCCTTGAATAGGGGGTGCACCAGGGGTGCTGCTGGCACTGAAAAGACCCGTGGCCAAGGCCCACAAGATACGAACTCTGCACATGCTCGTCTATATCTAGAGCTGCGCTTTTAGAAAGGATGGCTAGGATTTATTTAAAATGCCAGAGAAGGAAAAGCCAGCCCATTAAAGTGTCAAAGTAGCACCGTGGCAGTCCCCCAAAAGCACTCCCAAAAGCACTCCGCCCTGCTTGCGAACGTGCTCGAGAGCAGCTGCCGCCCCGAGACAGGTCAGTGCAGGTGGCTGGAAAATGGGCAGCGGCGGCTGCTTGTGCAGTCATGGGAGGAACCATTTCCAGCTGCTTCTCAAAGTATGGGCAGCGTTTGCAGTGGTGGTGCTGCTGGACACCAGTGGTGTGAATAGTCAAGCTGCAGACAGAAGCAGATGTGAAACCATATGTTCCACCCTTGCATTGTAAAACATTTCAGCCCGCTCCCTGCCCAAATTTTGGTGAATTTCTCAGTTTCCCCTTCCGTGACCACGTTGCTTTTGAAAGCTAAGGCTCAGAAGGGTTGCTTTGTAAGAAAGCCGTGTGTTGAACTCTCATTGCTCAACTGCTTTTTATATTTTAATTAGCTCACAAACTAGCCTGGCGGAAACCATATTGCATCACTTACCACCCCGATGAGTTAAAAAAGTGCTTTTGTTTCATGCATTAATTGTGTTGGCTTAATAGCAAAACCTGGCAAGCTTTCAGTATTTTCTTATCTCTTCCTCAAAGTACTACATAATGTTTTGATTCCTAGGTGCAGCAATTTCACCCATCTGCTATCTAGCTCCTCCATCCCCTTTCCCTGTAATAGGCATGCCATTAGCTGCAAATTGCTTATGTTTACAGCTGGCTATTATGGAATAAAAATCCCTGAATGAACCTTGACTCCCCTTTCAAGGGGTTAATCAATGTTTGGAAGGATAGGAAACTGTCAGCTCTAAAGGAAGTGGATCTGCTTGTTTCCTCTGGAATACAGGCAAGTGCGAAGAGCAAGGCTGTGCTCAGAGGCACACCAGTGACAATCCATGACCCCAAGACTGAAACAGGTCTCTCCGCTGATCAGGATATTAGTACTTGTATGATGGCCTCCTAAATGAGAAATCCTACAAAGCTTGGTTTGGTTTGCCAGTCTGCACCTCTGCCTTAGTGACGCATCAGAAAATACTGTGCTGAATCATTCAGCTTTGCATGTTGACATGGCCTGGTATTCTACTGAAATCAATCTTTCTTTCTTCCCCGCCTGCCCCCCCCCACATACAGGTGTTGGGGAGCAGTTCTGAAGATGGCAGTGATTGGAACACCAAGGCTATGACATACTCAGTGAGTCAAGTTGGATGTTATGCTCTAAAGACTGGAATTTGGGGTTTCCACGCTACGTGCGTGCGTCAAAGCCTGGTAATGGGGCTTACCAATTCTTCCTGCCCCTTGTGCCCTGTGAAGACCATGTTCTTTGATCGTTGGGGAGGGTTGGACATCGGGGCAGCCCCCGAGGAAGAACGAAGAAGCCCAGCTTGTTGGTTGCAGCCATGCTGAAGAGCCGGAATAAGCCTAGTACTGCTGCTACTGAGACCCAGCTGTGTCCAGTATGTGCCCTAATGCTTTCCAGGGCCCCCTTCCATTCCTAGCTAAGAAAAGCAGGCAGTTCTGGTCCCAAAGGGCTACACAAGCATTCCTTTGTGGGACTCCCAGATTTTGTTGCAAAGGAAAAGTCTGAACTGGAGAAACAGAGCAGAAAGCCGGGCCGAACCTGGCCTGTCTCTGGAGGGAGTCGTGCTCTTCAGAGTGAGCTGTGCAAAGTGGAGGGAGCGTGTTGGTCCGGGATGACCAAGGGGCGGGACCTGCAGTGTCGCGTTGTCACTGCAGGGAGGCAAAATCTTTCCATTGATGCTGGCAGGGAAAGCGCTTGCGGCTCTCGGAAGTCTTTATGGAGCATGACTTTTGCCTCTGTGTGTGGTCTATAAACTGCCCTTCTCCAACCTGGTACCAGAGCGAGAAGTTACGGAGTCCCGCATCTGGAGGGAACCCAGTTGTGGCACGGTTGCAGAGGCATGGCGTGTGCCTGCCTGGGGGGGCTCGCACGGAACACAGAACTCCGGTCGAGTGCCATGTGGATGATCCCGAGCAAGGCTGAGAAGAGCGCCAAGTTCTCAGACTTCCCTCTCACCCGGTTTCATCCGGAAGAGGACTTTGGCAGAGATTAGTTTCACTTCCGCAAAAGCCTGGCTGCGATTTTTATGAGGAGTGGAGTGTCTGGAATCTGATGGGAGGTGGGAATCTAGTGGCCCAAGTGTCGGTGCAGATGTGCAGGCCTCTGCTCCCAGTTTGCTTTGCAGGAACCCTGCGTTCTAGTTCTGGCAAGCTTGCCTGGAGTACACAGGGCGGTGACCTAGAATGGCGCCCCCTGCTCTGTGCAAGCAGCACCCCTGTCCCGCCCCTGGTCCAGCCGCTGCGTGCGACTCCACATACAGATGGTTGGTCACTGGGGCTGCCGGGCAGCAGTGACCACCTTGCTCAGTGGGGAAGGTGCACCTGGGCCTCCACAGATGTTTGCAGACCTCTCGGCTCAGCGTGCTTTTTTCAGGATCAGGCCAAGCACAAGAGGATGTGCTAGAGGGATGGATTCCACGAGAGGATGATTGAAAACAAATTCTGGTTGGGGTTGAAACATCCCAGATAAACAACCCCTCATTTAAACTTGGCTGGCTTAGAAGACGGTCTGAGTTTGAGAGGTATCCAGTGTTACCATCCCTAATTAGATTGGATCCATTAGAATGAAAGGGACGCTCGTAAATTGATCCTGGATAGCTTGGTGTTTTGCATATGAACCTAACCCTTCGTACTTTTATATGCAGGTCATTGAAAGCTGCACAGTGCATAATGCCTTGTTTCAGGGATGTATGTTTGAGCATTTTTTAACCTCTTCTGTTTCAGTATTACACATACAGCTGCCTCTTGGGTTTTATCGCGTGCTCTGTGTTCCTTCGAATGAGCTTTGAATTCAAGCTTCTGCTTTTGTCGGGAGCGGTCATTGGGTATTTCATAGTGTTTAACACCAACCAGCCAAAGCTCCCCATCAATGGCACCCCACCAGAGCCAGAGTAAGTATCTTGTTTCCCACCAGGAACGCGTTCTGTAGGTTTCGTGTAGTGTTAGACTACAGCGCAAAGAAATGGTCCTTCAGTAAGGAAATGAAAGCAAGATGGGAAGACAAGAGCAGATGGGGGAATATGGGGAACAGCAGCAGTCTTGCCACTGAAAATATTGCAATAATGGACATTCAGCGGACAGTGTTCCTTGAAGGGTACTTCCAGATAAGGCTTTTGTCCCACAAGTTTCCTGCTTCATTAGCAGAATTTTGTGGAGGAGATGCTAAGCGGATTCACACATCGCGGTAACCCACTCCGGTATGAACCCATGGTGGTTTGGTCACTGCCTAAACAACTTATGGTTCGGGTGACAAATGATCAGTGGTGGAAAAGGTAGGAAATGAGCTTGCTGCACAAAGGCATTTGGGATTTGTGTCAAGACCAGCTGTGGGTACCAAAAGGGAGGCATCCCATGGTAAGTCGTAGTGTGCTGATCATCTGATGGTTACGATGTGGGTTATTAAGCGAAAAAACAACCCACCTCAGCTCATCTTCAGGCTCAGTGTAGCAAGCAAATTTGCCAGATAGTTTCAGGCTGGAAGTGCTAGGAAGGCCCTGTTACTTGGAAATGTACCGCTTGGGAGCTGTTTTTGGAAACTGAGAATGCCTGTTTCACTTACAATTTCACATGAGTTATCTTTCCCACATGTTCTCTTTTGGTTTTAGGTTTCTAATGAAACAACCAACAATAATGACCAATTTGTACCTGGCTCTGTTTTATATAACCCTGGTTCTGCTGTCGAAACAGGTAAGGTTCTCAGCACTGTTCTTGTAGACTTCTGTTTTGCCTGGCACTTCTGAACAGGTAAACTAAGAAACTGTGTTCAGGTATTCTTTGGCTTGTGATAAGTGGGAAAAAGGCTTTCTCATCCATTGTTCCAGAATTATTTTTGGAGACTTCACATATCAAAATGCTGCAATGAGAGACAATATGCATTGTTGGAAGACCTGGATTAAAAATATTAGTGGCAATGAGGCAGCAGAATCCTGTATTGTTAAATTAAATGGTGACATTTCAGATTGCAGGTGGGGATCCTGGATTTCTGATATTCCCCCATGGAAAAGAAATCTTTATGCAAGCAGAAAATTAACTGAGTTGGAAGCGAGATGGGCATGACATCTTCTCCTTAGCACTCTCTTTGTATTAATTCGATTTTTAATTGTATGGAGTATTTTAGAATGACCCCCACACTTCCTTTGAATGCAAAATTGAGGTGGTGGTAGCCTCACTACCATCTTTAGATTGCACCGTCCCCCATATGGCAGAGGAAACCTTACTGGTTCATGGCGTTTGGGGTTCCATGCGTGCCAGCGCATTTATTCTTCTACATGCCAGCAACAAAATGACCCCCCCTTTGCATGCAAACAGCTCAAATTTGTTGGGCTATTAATAATGGCGATGATTATATTTGATGACTGCTGAGGCAATCTAGAAAACAGAGTGCAACGATGTGGGATAAATAAGTGCAGTTTAAAATAGAAATGTGGCTCGTGGGAGTAAATTAGGCTGCAGGGAACACAGCCTGTGCGTGAAAGCACTGGGCTTTGTTGTCTGCGTCCTTGTGTGTGTATCGCATGTGGGAATTCCACAAGGGGAATCGTGGGGGGCTTGAGTACCCCGAAGGAGCCACGTATTGGTCCGGTGCCCCATTTGACGTGGTTTGAGGCATTGCTCTTGTGCCACAGTGGAAGCCCCAAAAAGTACAAAAGGGTTTGTTGCCGTTGCAAAGAAATGGCGCAAACACGTCTTGGTGGGATGCATCTGGAGAATGACTGACTGCTAAAGGCAAGAGGAAAAATGTGCTCTAATTAAAGAATATATACTGGATTAGATTTTGCCAACTCACAGATCGACAGGAGTCAGAAACATAGAACAGCAAAGAATTCTGCAAATCGAGTTGACTTAGGGAAAACACAACAAAATTCCTGCTTAAAAAGGGGGTGTGGGTGCAGGTGTTTCATAAATGAATCATTCAAATAGCGCTGCTGCATTTCCTAGAAGATGTTTGGCAGGAAGGACACCAGACAGAAGGTTACTGATTTTTTTCTTCGGTGGTCTTCACTGAAGCGCATTTTTCATGTGGCCCTGGATCAGGCAGGCTGCACGTGAAAGTGCCCTGTGCCAACTGTGCGGCTGCTTATCCTATTTACAACAGCAGCATGGGAAGTGTTTTGTTTGCTGATGATGTTTCACTAAGTGTTTCATTACTCCTTCCCTTGCTTGCAGATAGACTATTACTGTCGGCTGGACTGCCTGCAGAAGAATAAATTCAAAAAAGAAAACGAATCTTTCGAAACCATGGAGAATGTAAACAGACTGCTTCTGGAAAATGTCCTTCCAGCTCATGTTGCTGCCCATTTTATTGGAGACAACAAATTAAATGAGGTACGGAAGAATATTAGCTGGTTTGGCTAATGGTGTTTTCATACTAGCTGATCGTTTCAGAGAGGGTTCTCTTGACCCCGGCACTAACGCCGAAGCTGTAGAAGCCTAAATATTAACAGTAGAGTCATTCTCAGTGCAGGGATGCCTAAGTAGTCAAAACTTACTGCCTGTGCAAAGAGGCGGAGATCCTGGCAGACTTGGAGGAAATGTGTGGTTTTCAGAAATGCTTCAGGGGCAAGCCCAAAGGAGGGGGAACCAAAAGACCAAACCTTAGAACCGCCATGCTGAATCAAACCAGGCCTTCCTCCTGGCCGGCATTTAGCTCACATAGTGTCCGGCCTGTGGGCAACCTGCAAGGTGATAGCCTTCTCCTGAGCAGCTGCAGAAGGCACAGGATGGGGAAATGATGGGAAATTGGGAGGGAGACGAGCGGAATGGAGCATCCTGGAAGGAGGCGTGGCTGGCCGGGTGAATCCAAAGATTCCGGATGGCGACCTTTTGTTGAGCGTCCGAGTTGTCTAGCCAAGAAGCCGTCACCGCTGAGGACACGAACCGGTTTCTGGCTACCGGGCCCTCCCAGTGTGCCCGATGGGGCAAATCATTTTGCATGTCTAGGTGCGTAGTGGGTTGATGCTGTTTTATGGTGAAGGACGTGTGTTAAGACAGGCATGGCGGTTGCCAGCTGAGAGACTGCGAGTGTTTTGCTGCATTTTCTGCAGGATTGGTACCATCAGTCCTACGACTGTGTCTGCGTCCTCTTTGCCTCGGTGCCCGACTTCAAGGTGTTCTATACCGAATGTGACGTCAACAAGGAAGGGCTGGAGTGCCTTCGGCTCCTCAATGAGATCATTGCCGACTTCGATGAGGTATTTCTGGGCTGCCTTTGGCACAGTCTCTCTTTGTGTTGGGGTAGCACTCGGCTATGGAGCCTCAGGACCCGCTCCGGATGAATCCCTCCCTTGCATCAAGTAACCTGCAGAAGAGGAGGAGCCGGTGTGATAGGAGGAGTCAAAGGGTCTACTCCAGTTGGACTCCCCACCCCAGAGCTAACTCATACCCACTGCCCTGTGGGAAAGAATACGGGGAGGGTAAAGGCAACCCTTGCTTGGCTGGGCTACTGATCTCTCCAGAGATGGGGTGAGGCCATTTCACCAGGCTTGCTGAAAGTTCGCTCTTTCCTCTTCCCTCCCCATTCCTTCTTTCATCTCGCATCTTGTCTTTTTAGACTGTAAGCTCTGCAGGCGTTGGCTAAGTAAATAAATTGAACATGTGGCCCACCAGATGGTGTTGGACTGGAACTGCCTTCAGCCCTAGCCAGGATAGACAGTGGTGACTCAACCTGATGGCATCAACAGACGTTGGTTCAACCATGAGAGTTGCAGTCCGACTACATGGCCCTAGAAGGAAGGCAGTCCGTCCTGAATCTACAACAACCCCATTTTGAAATAGTTGCTGTTAAGCTTCAAAATGTGCTGAGCTTGATACACAGGGGAAAGACTCAGAAACACACGCTGAGTCTTAAAAATCTTAAAGTATGACGCTCAAGGGCTTTTGTACTTGAGTATCTCTCTGAAACTCAAAATGCAGTGTGAAAATCAGTGCTGTTTGAATGTCCATAGCACCCTTGTCCCACGCTAGCGTATTCCACTAGGAAGTCTGGCCTTTGAGAGGATGACTGGGTAATCTGAATGTTGGTTGTTTTCTGCCTTTTCCTAACAGCTGCTGCTAAAACCTAAATTCAGTGGTGTTGAAAAAATCAAAACTATTGGAAGCACATACATGGCGGCATCAGGGCTCTGTGTTACTCCAGGGCAAGAGAATAATCTGGTGAGTCATCTATTGTATACCAACTCCTTAGACTTTGGGTTTGCATCAGAGAGTGTAACTTCATAAAATCATAGAATAGTAGAGATGGGAGGGGCCATGAAGGCCATCAGGTCCAACCCTTTGCTGTTGCAGGACACCACGTTACACCATCTCACTCAGATGGCTGTCCAGTTTCTTTTTGAATGTCTCCAGTGTGGGAGAGCCCACCTCCTCTCTAGGCAGCTTTTCCTGATGTCCAGCCTGAATCTGAGTTGTCACAACTTGAATTGATTACTCCTTGTCCCGCACTCGGGTCTCGGTGAGAAGAGATCTTGACCTTCATCTTTGTGACAGCCTTTGAGGTTTCTGCTTAGGTTTTTGCTGACATTTCCTGGGATGCGTTGCAAAGATTTTCATTCACTGAGTGACTTAATGCGAAGGACCTCTTAACTATTCCATCCGTATTGTTTAGGACCAGGAAAGGCAGCACGCTCAAATTGGCATCATGGTGGAATTTGCAATGGCCTTGATGACTAAACTTGATGGCATCAACAGGCATTCATTCAACAATTTCCGCCTTCGAGTTGGTAAGTTTGTTATCCCCCCACAAAGATTAGGATTAAATAGCCACGTGGGTTTAATTTTACCAACTTCGCATTCTTTTCAGCACAAAATCAAAACGTTCCTTCTTGCCCAAGCATTTAGTTTTTTTCTTCTCTTTCGATGGTTGGTTTACTGGTTGTACAGCTTTAAATCTATAGACTAATCAAAGTATTTCATCCATAGACCTTTCTGCAAATTTATACCTAAAACTATTGGTGTTGATACATTTTTTAAAATAATGCATTATTAATATAGCATTATCTTGTTTTAATAATACACTGTATAGTTCGGCAAGGGGCGGCATAGAAATGTTTTAATAAATAAATAATAAATAGTTCTTGTGATGTTACTGTTTTACCATACTTGTATAAGACTTTGCCCGCTTCCCTTGGATCCTTTGAGGATGAAGGCTGGTTTATAGGTGTTAAAAATGAAACTAAACCTCAGGCACCCTCCTTGGCCTTCTTCCATTTCTGACTGAGAGAGTTTATCAATGCATCCTATGACTTGTGGGTTGCCAACGAGTCGCCCTGCTGAATCAACAATTGGTAGAAGCACTTTTTGCAGTAATTAGTACTGCAACTCCTTGGGAGAGGATAGGGGAGAAAGAGTGAACGACGTGGTAGGGGATGGACGAGTAACAGAGACATGGTAAGCAACAGAGAGAGCTTTTCCCACTGTGCAACCAGCCACACAAGCTCCAGGCAAGTCTGAGTCTTTCCTCACTGTTTTGTTCATACAGGTATAAACCATGGGCCTGTTATCGCTGGTGTGATCGGTGCTCGCAAACCCCAGTATGATATCTGGGGAAACACCGTTAATGTCGCCAGCAGGATGGAAAGTACTGGAGAGCTTGGGAAAATCCAGGTAAAATAAAATGTTTTAAACCGTCCTTCTAGCTTAGGGATGTAAAGCCTCAACCCCGAGGACAAATCCATCCCACCTAGCTTCCAGCTTCTCCCTCTGCCATCCGCTTTCCCGTGACTGCCAGTGTGTCTTCCTGGGTTGTGTGTGTCTTCCTCCCATTCGAAGAGGTTGACCTCTCTTAGTTTGTCATGGTGAGAGCTTTAAGTTCAGCTGATATTTCTGGCTCCACCTCTCGGGCCTTCACTCACCACTGGAATGTGACTCATGAGAATTTCCCCGAGTTGAATTTGACCTCAGGCTAAAAGAAGTTCAACGCTTTGGCTCTAGAAGCAAACTTGCACACTGGTGATACAGGTCAGCAAAGCATCTCTCTCTCCTTCCTTAACCCTGTCCTTGGAAGCCCCTTTTCGGATTCAGTGGCTGTTTGGGCTTTAGTGGAATTTAAAAGACAACCAGCCTTCTCTCTTGTGGGCCCTGTTCACTGAGCTCTTCTCCCATGGAAGCCTCCTAGTTAGTCCCCTCTTTTGAAGATAAATGGCTGCTTTTAAAGAGGGCTGTTGTCCCTAAAACATGAAGATTTTGCATTAGATGGATTTCTGCCCCACCTTTCAAGCTGGAAGAATCCTTGAGGTGATCTAACCCAGACTAATGAATGCCTCCACACCCCCTTGCGATTTAGCCAGTGTGAGCCCTATTTCACAAAGGCCCATTGAATTGAATGGGCTATTAAGTTTAGTTAAACTTGGATAGAACCCAACTATTTAAAGCTCTGGGGTAGTTTAGGACACTTATTCGGACGTCTTCTCCCCTTGGAGCTGGGGCCAGGACTCTGCACTGCTGGGCAGCTGCTAGGACCCACGCGGAGCTCCTGAAGCATGTGAGCAAGGATCAGGCAGAGGAATAGGAGCTGTCCTTACTTGCCCTCCCTGAGCTAACGCTGCAATGGAATTGGGATGCCAGTGGATTGGGCCCAGAGATGAAAGGGGCATGCAAATGGGCCGTGGGAACTGTAGCGATGGAGTAGGCCTGTCAAGTTCTACTGACGGCATCTTGCTTATGCACCCACCCAAATGAGCACCAGACTCCCTTCTTGAGATACTGCTGAGGCTGTTGCTGCATTTCATTGAGCCTTGGTCTGCTAGCTACGGGAAATTAGGGGGTCTGCACACTCCCTTTCTCCCCAGGAAGACGACAGAGCTTTTCCTGACCAAGTAGGGGAGGCGAAGCAGAGTGATGCAACTCTTGGGCTGGCTGCTGGGAAAGGTTTTATAGTTTCTTGCATGGCCATTAGGTCTGCTTCCTTCTCTGAAGTAGTGTTGCTGGTGGTTCCATCCTGTTTGCAAATTCTGTCTCTGTAAAAGCTGTTTTGGAAGCTGCTTCTGCGAAGCAAGGTCTGAAAGCGATCGACCAGATGCATGTTGCAAGCCCTGAATGCCTCAGTGACCTTTCAAGTTCTGTGTTGCATGTGCAGGTTACGGAAGAGACGTGCAAGATACTGGAGGGCCTCGGATACGCCTGCGAATGCCGAGGACTGATTAATGTCAAGGGAAAGGGAGAACTGATGACCTACTTCGTGTGCACTGACACAGCCAAATCCCAAGCCCTTTGACTCGAACCAGAAGCTGTGGAGAAGTTTGGTCGAAAGGCAAGTCCTTCCTCTTGTCCTTCTGGGAAGTCTGGAGATTCTGCCTTCTTATGTAAAGAAGCTTAACTTACCTGTGAGTGGTACATCTGCATCTCGAGAGAGGAGCACAGAGAGCTCTTGGAAGATGTTTACAGCCCTGTGTTAGTCCCCGTTTCCAAGAGTTTTTCTGTGGTCCCCACATGGATGATTCTTGTTTCCTGGCCACAGGCACATGGGACTGAAGTGACATTTCTGCATGCCTTCTGTGGAATCACAGTTGAACTAACTGCCTTGCTACAACGTTCTGCTGCCTAATCTTTCACCAGATCCAGTAACAGTATTGCATTTGTCATACAAAAGAACAGGTCTGAACTGCACTGCCTTTAGCACAAAGTCATCCATTTTGTAGGTGACAACAGGACTGCAGTCCTGCTATTGAAATCTTTTAAACTGGAAGTGTCAGAGGTTGAAATTGGGACTGTTTTCCCACAGAGCTTGTACTCTGCCAGGGATCCATGGACCCCTTTCTCTCCCTTTATGCCAGCGCTCTGTCCTACCACCTCTTTTCAAGACGAGGAGATGTTACACTGCCAGTATTGTCTACAGACGCATTCCACTCCACAAAAACATCCCCCTGGGTGGATGTTCTTCCTTACTGCTAAACCTGAACCTGATACTGTGTCCCTGCCCACTGTCCAGCTTATGTCATCCTTACAAGAGAAAGGCTGCAAGTGGGGAACGTCTCTGATTCATTCATACTTCTTTTTCTGGAGTTCGCTAGCCAGGTTTTGGGGCAAGCATCTTCGGCTTTAGTTCTTCAGTGCGCTTCTAGTTGGTGGAAATGCCAGAGTGGCTTTTCCTTGTTAATATTACCACCTTACATTTCTATACCACCCGTAGCTGAAGCTCTCTTATTTAAGTCACCCATCCAGATTTCAGCCAGGCCCGACCCTGCTTAGCTTCCAAGAATAGGCAGGACCAGGCACTTGGGGCTATATGGACATTTCCCTTTGGCTTCTGCTGTACGGTGTTTGCTCCTCACAACGCCCCGTCCTACGTAAACAACCGTTGAGTGCCGTGCCCCACAGCAGGGCACAAAACACCAGCATCGTTGATGTATGTAAATTCTAATTCATCCTCAGGGGCCAACAGCTTTGGGTAGTCTCGATTTACATGGCTTCTTTTCCAGTTCCATGACTGGCAAGAGAAGTCTCTCTGCGCCAGGCAGAAGAACCGAATGCTGCCTGATCGCAAAATGCGTTGTGGCAGTGGCAAAAGAGTCGCCGTCCTGCCATGCCCAATATCTTCCCCGTACCTCCCGAAGCGTGACTTCTAGGGAAAGAGGTCTCCGCTCTTTCTGTTGCTCTTTCTTTGCAACAATGGACATTGCTTAGCGCTTTGGAATGCTAGCAGCCCTGCGCACGATTCTGTACGGTAAGTGACGTTTTCTCTTTCGAGTAATTGCATTGCTGGATTTCGCCATCGGTGAGATGCTTCTCCTCCTTTTTTGTATGGTTCTCATAGGTAAAATAAACAAGGGGAATGGGACCAAATGCAGTCTCTATGGTAAACCAGAGAATAACCAGCTTTTACTTTGGGATGTTTATGCCTTTTGCTGTCGCAATTTTATTTGATAGCTTGCCTGTATTTCTCAAATTTCAAAGCATGGGTATTCCCATGGGCTTCTGCTCCAGTTCCCTTAGAAGTTTTGGAAAAAAAACCCCCTTTGCTTATTAATTTTCCTCCTGTTGTTTAATTCAATACATTTTATCTTCTTTTGTTTATTAACTTGTATCATAAATCACAACAATATCAGGCAACTCCAAAGTTTACTACCTGTGTACCTTACTCAACTAAGTCATTCACTCGTTTATGGAGAAACAACATGCATTTTAAGGGTTCTGTTTGGGAACGCTTTTTCATAAAGTGTGAGTAGTAGGGCTACTGTGTAAGAGCTGTATGGGATAAGATTATTATTAGAAGGGAAGAGTTTCTTGCAAAGCTGCTTTTCAAAAAATAGAGTTCTTTTAGGGATATTTTTTGAGTCTGCTTAAATTACATGGGGTTGGACCCAGAGATGCAAAAGGTATTTATTTGAGTCTTCGTACGAGCACTGTAGAAAAAATCTGAATCTAAACACGGTGCTTAGCTTGCGTAGCCACCTGCACAAGCACAAAGACCTGCTCTAGAACCAAACTCTAGCACTGAGGAAATCTGTGAAGTCTTCACAGAACTGTGCTTGCTGAAGGGTCTCTGGATCCAGCTCCGTATACTTGCAGTTAATGTATTGGTAAGCAGCTCATCTTGATTTTTTCCCCCTATGACAGTTCTGTCTCAAGGGAACAAGGAAAAAAAAAAAAACCCAAGAGCAAACCCCACAAAGCCTTACATGTGGAAAGGAAAATACGTAAATTGTTTGCACTGTGTCCAAAATAAGTAGCCATTTCTCATGTGCCTCTTTTAAAAAGCTTAGTAGTACAATCCTGTTTGTGTTTATTTAATAGCAGCTCCCACTGGGGCAGTGGGATTACTCCCATGTTAGTGTATGAAGGACTACGGCCTAAAACTGGATTTTGTGTTGACAAGTACAGTTTACTTGTCCTAAGGAAGAGAGACATATTGCTTTGCATTGAAGTGGTTTATAAACTGAAGTGTGAATATCATGACACTCCTTGCAATGTTGTTTTTCCATGTGGTTAAGTTTTCACTGGACGCATTGGATTAAAACTTTGTAGAATACCATTCACGTATGAATTGCTAGAGTAATTTTACTGAAATCCATTTATGGAAGCGAGTCCAAGAGTTTGAGGATTCTGCCTCTAGTCTAATTTAAAGTTTTCAGAGTGGAGCATTTTTCAGCCTTGTTTGCCCTGGATGTACCCCTGTTGTGTTCATTATAATTACTGTGTAATTAACTTATGCGGAGGCTAAACTGCCTATGTTTCATGACAGGAACAAATCTCTTCTTCTGAGGTCCTACTGTAGATTTAGGACTTTTGGAAAGTCTTAGCTAACTAGAATAGGTCACACTGGAAAGTGGCACAGTTGGGTAGTCCTGGGTATTATTAAGAGGAAGCATATGCAACTGTTTGTTTGTTATAGCTGCAACTTAATGTGAATTATGAAGTATTGCTTTCAACTCTTTATTGTGGATTTGTTACATGTCTGGTTTTTAAAATAAAAGAATGCTTTAGTCAACGGGTCTATAGTCTCTAATATTTGTAACTATTATTGTGTTTGAGAGCAGCTACCAAATGTTGTGTAACAAATGTAAAAGTGCGAAATTAAAGCATCACTTTAAAAATTGCTTCTATTCAGATTATACTGCCATGGGAAGTAATTTGCCTCAGCTACATTAGTTTGCATTTAAGCTCTGAATTTCCTAGATGGAAAGTTTGTACTGTTTGTTGCCTGAAATGGAAAACCCTCGTTTAAAGAAAAGGAATTGCCACGCTTACTCCTGGTTTAGCCTCTCTGTTGCTGGGTTAAGTCTCGGACACTGAAAATACCCCCGCCCTATGTTAACAGTAGTGGACAAAGGGAACTGCAGGGGGACAAAAGGCCAGCTTGAGGCAGTGCCCCCCCCCCCCCGAGGTCAAGATCTCCCTCTTTGCTCCTAGAAGCTAAGCAGCGGTCATCTAAGCATTTCTTAGGCGCTGGCGCGTCCCCAAAGCTGTGGATGACCTTGTGTACCTCATGACTGGTCTGTAGATAAACATGTCGCTTCGCAAAGAATCGTGCTTGAGGTGAGGCGAAGCTTGCTTGGGGATGACTCATCCATACCCACAGAGACCTGCTTTGTGAACGTGCAGGCGTGTTCCGTGCTTCGCTTCAGGTTGAAATCTCTCCCTCAGCGCTGCTGTTTGCTTTCCGTGAATGCACGAAGCTTAAGCTTGCTTTTAATGTTTCCTTCCCCCTCGGTTGTGCGCCGCCCAAAGAGGTAGAGGCGGTTTCTGATGGAGCACCACTGGAGGCACAGGATGAATGCAAAAGTGGCAGCATGCCTCATTCTAAGACCTCCTGCGGGGTGTTCTCCGTTCATCATGTGGAGTGGGAGCAGCAGGACGGCATGTGGCAGCCAGCCCTTGGCAGCCGCACACGGGAAGGTCTGAATCAAGAGACCCTGCTCTGCACCCGTGAACTCCCAGGGCGACTTAGACCGTGGCCACGCAGAGAGCCGATGCCTGCTCAGCCGGGTCCCTTCCAGCCCCAAGGGTGCTGGAGCTGTGCAAGAGGGAGGCAAGCGAGCGCGCTCTTCCTCTGACCGACGCAAAGCCTGAACAGGGCTTCTGCAGTCCATTTCAGGAGCACCTCTTAGGAGCCACCAATAAAACAGGGCCAGTTCAATTTTAAATGGTTTTATTAAGGACTCAAACGTTTCCGTAGACAGACCCCACACGAAGAGCCCACACGTGTGCTGGGGTAAACTGCAAGCAGAGTGCTGAAGTCTAAATAGCCTAAGGATCACGTGGCAACGGGCTCACATTCATTTCCAATGGCAATGGGAGCTTGTGGGGCTTCTTCCACCTCTGGAAAAAAGTATTACATATAATCTTACCTCACTTGGTTCGTCCACTGAAAGGGGGAACGGGTCGTAGCATGTGACTATGTGGCTGCTGTGACCCTGCTTAGACGTGCTCTGCAAAGCTAACTGAGCTTGTCCAAAAGCAGAGCTCAGTTAGACTTACTCCCAGGTAAACTGATACAAGACCGCAGCGTCAATGCCTCATGCTCCTTAGCCTACAGTAGCAGCCCTGCTTTCAGAGCTGGCCACAAACTAACAAACTAACAAACAAACAAACAAACAAACAAACAAAAACCACCTGAAATAATGAGCACCTTTCCTGTGTGGAGGAGGGAAAACCTGGGATTTTAAAAGGCGCGGCACTCAAGTGCGGGCACTGATCGTTCTTCTGCAGCCACCCTCTCCCACATGGGAAGAAGTTCTGACCGCACGCCCTCTGTGTTACGTGCTACTGTGCAAAATGTGGTTGTGGCAGCAGAGCACCATGGAAAGCGCCCGGGGCCTTGCCGGGCGCCCGGCACTTACTCACCCTCCGTGAGGTCAACGCAGTTCTCTGCGACGTCTGGCAGAGGGACCGAAATGCCCATGGCTTTGCGGATTCCGTAGGTGCTCACGATATCGCCGGGAGCGACTTGCTGCGCAAGCTCTTTGAGGTTACTGGTAACTCTCTCGGCTGGAAAGAGAACAAGGCCGCAACGGCGCAACTTTTCACAGAACGTAAAAATTCTGAAAATAGCCCCCAGTAGACTGAAAATCTGCGTTTATGCATTTAGAGAGCCTTCCTTGCTATTTTAATTCTTTGAAACCTGTTTGCACTGCTTTTCTGGTACAAGCAACCTCTCCAAGCTGTTGAAAATATTACAACGTTGAATGTTTTTAAAAAAAAAACCTGACAGTGATGAAATGGACAGCACAATCACAGCACTCCTTGCAGCACTTGGACTCCATGGCCTTCTTGGCCCCTTCCAATTCTACTAGTCTATGATTACAAGCATCCCATGCAGGACAGGAAGTATGGCAGCGGTAATTTCCAACATGGCTTGCCTTTTCTCAGGAAAGCTGCTTTTGGCCATCTACCCTTAGTATGCAGAGGTAGAGGGAGGAAGGCTGGGCACCAATTGGAATCTAATTGCACGGCCTCAGCTTCCTCTGCTCCTCATCTCCCAGCATGCCTCTCTCTCCCTCCCCTCACCCCCAGTTGGCACTTGGAGGATGGGCAGGCCAGAGGGCTCTCTGAGTGCCAGCTAGGAAGGGCAGGGCAGGGCAGGGACCTGGTCTTCAGAGGTCCAGCTGCGAGACCGCATGGCGTTCCAGTCAACACGGGAAGCTGTCACATCATACCCTGAGAGAGCTGAAGGATACTGTATACTACTAGCCTTGCTGGTTTTCTAAAATCTGAACATGTGCGGCACAATAAGATTCATGTGCATTCCAAAGCATGCCCCACGGACCTCAGTGGAGTCTTCTCCAGTGTACGTGGGGATGCCCTTAAGTGCACCAGAAGACCCGTACTTACCCAAATGCATCTCCTTGTAAGAGGGACTCAAGAGGCAGATCGTGTTCGGAGGCGGTTTTGTGCTCAGCCGCTCATTCTGTGCATCCTGGAGCTCCCTGAGCAACTTCGTGGTTTCGTCAAGTTTTCTCTGGAACACCTCTGCTTCTGTGAAATTCGGAAGGAAACCGTGGGCAGAAGTCAGCCCGGCTGGAAGGGGCCAAGAAGCCTTGCGAATCAATGCCAGCCCTGTGCGTTCCACTCACCTTCGGATTCAAACTCCTCTGTGGGCATCCCAAAATTGATCACTGCTCTCAGGGCTGTGAGCCTCTCCTTAGTAAGAGAGGACCTGCTGGCCAGATCCGTTTCCATAACCTGCTCGGGGCAACAAATGCCTGCTTTTAAACTCCGGCAAAATGCACTTGTGTTAGTATTTTTGAACCAAGCGAGTATGTTGACTCTTCAGAGCAAGACGCAGGATAAATAGCATGGGTGGCTTGAAATGTGACCCTCTGTGCCCTCTTTAGAGCATTGGGCTGACCCTGCCCAGACCCCCTCATCTAGCTAGCTGGCTGTTGTGCCTGGCACTGTGAGGCCCGTTGCACCCTGACTGCTTGCAGCCGGGGCCAAAGCCGTAAGAGGCAGGCCCTGGAAGCCGGTCTTCAGAATCCCACCCTTCTGGCCAAGGATGAGTAATGATTTGGATAAGCTGGCCATACATTTTGACCAAATGGCTTTGCTTTTGGCTTACTGCTAACGTGTTAAAAGGCAGCCAAGCCACTGTGTTGCAAAACAAGGTGTGAAATCTCAACCTACAAAGTTGTTAAAAGAAGTTCTGTATAAAGTCCAAACTGAGAAGCGCTGGCAGATGGAAGCAAAGCCTGAAATATGGCACCGCAGTAGGTAAATTTCACAGGGGTTGACTTTTTTCTGTTCTGTATCTCAGTCACCTATTTATCGAACGTCAATTTCATATCCCATGACGCAAAGTAAGAAAGAGAGCAAGTGGACTGTCTCTATTCTATATACGAAAGTAAAACCTGGCATTTTGATTTAGGCTGGTTTGGTGAAGCATTTCCCTGACCTGTTTGCTGCCTAGAGGGCTGAAGAAATTTAAAAGACCGTCACCTCTATGTCCTTGGCCACTTCAGCCCTTTCACGGAGGCCTTCGGCATCCTCTGCTGACTGTACCTGGAAAAGGATCACCTGTGGTTATGATCTGTTGAAATAAATTTTATTTGATCCTTAATGTGATCCAGTAAAACGCGTCTCCTGGGCTTAGCTTGCTCAGGTCCCTTGGACTGCGTGTTTACTCTACTTGAGCACTGCGGGCTCCTCCTCTTCCCAGCATGGGCCAACTCTGGCCTTCCTGAGCCAATGGTGAGTGGCGAGGGGAGGTGCACTCCAACATCTGGGGCCCCAGGTTGCCTACCTGTGGCCTACAGGTGGCTCCAGACATGTCAGGCTGCCAGTGGCAAGGGAAGGAAAACTGCTGCTCTGGCTTTCATGCCACTAATGTAAAATCCCAGCAGTGAGCTCTCCCCCTCCAAATTCAAAGGGATTTAATGGTAGGTTTTACATATCCTTGTTAAAACCTAACGTCCAGAAAATAAATCTCTCAATGACCATTTCAACTGGAGTTCCAACAGAAAACAGTCAAGAGATTTATATAAAAGGCACCTGGCTTCATACATTTCTAACTGATATTCCCTAGTCATGGCTTCTTTCTAATAGTTCCTTCCAAGGAGAATAAATACGTGGTTCCAGAAGTAATTTATTTTAAATCAAATCTCACTTGGATTTTATTTACAGCCAGTGCAATTAACTCCCATGTCTGAATGCCAAGGACAGCAGTCCCAGCCGGGAGGCAAACTTAAGAACAGCTGCCCTCCCACCACCGCGTACAGAAGTCTTCCTTCTAACCAGATCATCCCCTCCATCGCCAGCCCTGAAAAGCCTAGAAGGGGTAAGCAGAAAATGTGCCTGAATTTATTGATTCGTTTTATATTGCGTACAGTCTTTTATTATTTAAACAAACAGTTAAGACAACAGACAAAAATCAAAGCTGGCCCATGGACAGGGTTTCATGGCGTGCCTCTCCCCCACTTGCAGCGACTGAAGTCAGTGTGACGTAGTGGTTAAGAGCATGGGACTGGGACTCAGATGATCCGGGTTCGAGTCCCTGCTCAGCCATGGAGCCAACTGGGTGACTTTGGGCCAGTCACAGACTCTCAGCCCAACCCACCTCACCGGGTTGTTGTGAGGGTAAGATGGAGGAGGAGATGTAAGCTGCCTTGAGCCCTTTGTCGGAAAAAGGCAGGATATAAATCGAAAAATAAATAAAAAATAAAAAGTCAGGAAGGACCAGGCCAGTGAAGGCACAGAATGTAGCACCGCCTCCTCCCCATCAGATCGGGCTGCAGGTTTTCTCCTCCTGACACCCATTTCAATCGGCAAACCAAGCCTGGGCGTGGCCAATGTTCAGAGGCCTGGAGAGTGCATCTTCACCCAGTATGCTCCAAATGTCTTGGGAGCCCTTTGACAGGCAACGGTCCCAGAATATCCTGGCCCACCACTATGCAGACACCAGTCCTGCTCCATTCAGTGGGGCTTAATCCTCGGTTTGGATGCAAGAGGCGGAAATGTGGGTGGGTCGGGGGCCGCGCAGATCCAGAGCCCATGGCAGGCTGCTTTGGATTAGGTGGCAGACGCAGCGTGAAGGGCCACGTGGAGAACATGCTGTGCCACCACATCTGCAGTGTGCCCAGCTCTCCACCAAGACCCCTGCCTATTGCCGCCCTTCCCAACTCTGCTGCTGGGGAATGCGCCGCCTGGAGCAGTGGGACCATGTGCTAAGCAGGAGGAGGACCCACGAGCCGTTCTTCTTCCCTCGGGGGTGCTAGGGCCTCATGACGGTTTTTCCTTAGGTGGCTGATTTACATAGTTTGGCTGCTCAGTTTCATCTTTTTATTATCAATTTTATAGACATGTTGCAAGCCACTTTGACAGTCTGCTGGAAGACTGACATAAATAGACTGGGTTTTAGAATGTTTCTCTTGGCCAAGAAGTAGAGAACAAGGAATGATGCTCCTTCTCCACTGGCTTGATTTTTCCTTCCTTAATTTTCAGAAGGGAACACACAGGTGGGCTTACCGTCTCTAGCTCTCTCAGTGAGCGAGAATGTCCTCCTTGGGTGAGGACATCCAGCAAGCTGTCAGCCATTACATAGGGGTAGTCCTGACACTTGGCCAAAAATTCGTTAATGCTAAAGACCAAAGAAGCACAAACACATTAACAAACAAACAGGGCGGGGAAAAATAGCTCTTGCAATTTGCTGGTTACCTGAGCAGGTCAGTGACTAGAAATAGCCTTCCAGGAAACCAGGTGGAGATTCAGTTCCTTATCTGGGAAGGTGTGGCGTGCACCGTGTTAGGTGTTTCCAGAAATTCCCATTGGCTTAAGAATAAACTGGTCGTTATTGAATTTGAGAGCTATCCAAAACCGTGCATAGTGATGAGGTGAATTTTTAAAAGCACCTCAGTTATGCTGGGAAACGATCATTTCATTTCATCATCATTTCACATGAGCAGCAGAAACAAATTCAGACCCAAGCCTTGGCCACCTAGAGAGTAAAGCTAAGCTGTAACCTGGATAAGCTAAACAGAGTATCAAGTAAGTTTGCGATACATAGAGATTCTTAGCATTCCAAACACCACTTGAGAAGCGGTAACAGGGCATGCCTGATCCCTAACCCAAGAAGTCCTTCTTTAGTCCCTCGCAAAGAAAGCTGATCCTGCGGATTACAGCCAGCAGGATCCTGCCAGGAAGGTAGAGATGGAATGCGGTTTCAACAGACCTCCTAAAAAGCAAAGCTCGTCACTAGGGGAAACTCAGGTGAGAAAAAGATAGGTGTATCATGGATGGAACGCTGAAGCAAAGGGCTGGGAACCACAAGGCTAGGTGTCTGTTGATATTATTTCAGAAAGAACACTTGGTATTAACAACTGAGATTTGATGGAATGTTAAGAATGTGATTATGAATCTAATCTAGCAAACCAGAGTGGTGTAATTGTTAGGAGCCTGGGTCTAGGACTCAGGCAATCTGGGTTCTAGTCCCTGCTCAGCCATGGAGCTCACTGAGTGACTTCGGGCCAGTTACAGAAGCCCAATCTACCTCATAGGGTTGTTGTTGTTGTTGGACTAATACTGAGAGCAGGAGGAAGAGACTGATGTAAGCTGCTTTGAGTTCTTTAAAAAAAGGGCAGGATATGAATACATAGCTTTATATTTTATAACTAAATAAAATGAAGTGAAATTCCCTCACTCTCAACTAGTCAAAAACATATAGATGAAACCCCAGTAAGCATCTGGTTTCATTTGCTAGTGCTGCTGCTAGTAATGGGAAAACACCAAAGGGGAGCCTGCTCCTTTGTTGAAACACTTACCTGAAATTCCCTTGATTAGAATCTTCTCCATAAGTGGAGTAGATTAAATCTGAATCATCCTTGCTGATATTTGCAAACGTGGAATCGTAAGCTGGAGCGTAAGAGCTAAAGGGTCCATAGTTCAAGTACATCACTGAGGAAAAACACAGAGCAGGAATGAGTCACATATTGGTGCAGACTTCCGCAATCGGGCGACCTCCTGGTGTGTCTAAATGCAACGCCCAACATCCCCAGCCCACACTGTATTTAGCCAGTAGAAATGACACAGGAGCTAACTGTTCATTCTATATGGCTACAATCCTTTGGCTACTAAACAAAGTCTTCCCTGGGCATTAGGTTAGGTCCAAAGGGAAGGATTAATTCTGCGTGTTCCCCATACTCTGTAGGCCTCATCCAAGAAAGGTAGAATTGTTGTGCCCCCTTCAAGGCAGAAAACTGTCTGGCAGTGCTTGCTCATAGTCTACAAGAAGGATCTTGTTTAATTAATAAATAGGCTGGACCTCACACCCTTCCAGTGCAGCCTTTCTTAGCTCATGTCAGAGCTTGCTATGGTATCTAAGTCCTACTTTTAATTCCACCTTCTGTGGATAGAAGGATCCTACAAAAGTCTGTCGTTCAGTCATAAGAAATCCAAGTGCGAAGAAGAAAATCCAACTATTACACTAGAAGATTTTGCATGCACTATTAGGAGAAACAGGTGCTGATGGAACTCCGGTGGAAGTTTTTTTGTGTCACAAAGCACAGAATGTTTTCATCTGAAAACCCCCTGAATCAGAATTAAGGAAAAACAGGTTCTCTCAATCTTTACTGTGTGCATAAAGTTGGAAACTTTTGGAGATTGTCATCTGTGGCTTTGACATTTTGGTCTCCTCAGTATAGAGCGAAACCCTCCATCTGTATTTGTCCCTTTCATTTATCGATTCCCACTGCCCACATCCTCCAGGACATTCGAATATTCTTCAGCACACACTAGCAGCAGGATTTACCGGGAGTAACTTTATTCCGCTTGTCTTCTTTGAACCCTTGTAATGTATTGACGCCTGACTGAAGTCTTCCGGCAGTCACACCCAACTTCGCAGAGCCATGGCCGACTTCTGCCACCCAAGAGAATGAGACATGAACAAGAAAACAGTTATGTAGCTTAACCTCTTTTTAAAATAATCCTACGTTAAACGCCACCACATACACAACATCTCCTTCTGGGCTTTTCTGAAGCCCTTGTGACAATCAGTCTTAGTTCCCGGTTAGATTACAAGCCATTAAACCTTTCGGATGCTCATTCGGCAGGAACACTTTCTCTGGAGTGGTTCTCAGCTCCAGAGTTGAAATGCTTTTCAACAGCCTTCCCCGGAACAGAAGGCACGCACAGAATGTCGGGGCACGCTGAAGATCCTGATGCTGAGCTCAGCCTTTGGTGGCTTGCAGCGCCAGTTCCTTTAAACTGCTTTTACCCGTTATATAAGCTGGAAAGTCTTGGATTTCATTACATTTGTATATTGCCATGCGGATTATTTATTTACTTATGCTGGGATTCCTGTGCACGGCCTTCAAAGCATAACGTGACAAGTGGGATATCAACACTGAAAATAAATCGCTGAATAAAAGTGTGTCCATTTTCACGGATTTAAAGGCCTGTGAAACGTTACCCTGTAGCCCAGTATAAAAGCCGCTTAAAAGTAGAGTTATGAACTACAACTAGCAGTGTGACTAACAGTCCACCCACTGGCATGTATTAGTCTGGGTATCAACATCGTATGAAGCAAATGGCTCTAAGCATCAGGGAGGGCAGCACCAATGGAATCTGTGGGACTTGCTTCTGAGTAAGCTCGCTCGGGAAGATTGGCAATCGAGATATAGCTCGGCGCTGTTCCACTGAAGAGGCAACTCAGATGGGGGTGGACAACGTGATGCTCACCAGAGCTTTTAAGTTGTAACCCCCATAAGCCCCCATCACCACACCCACTGGTCAGGTTATCATGGGGATTGTGGTCCAAAATACCTGGACAGCGCTACATCACCTGCCCCTGCCCTCTCACAGGTAGGCACCTTAGCCCAGGTGTCAGACATACTTTGAGCTGTGGCTGCCAGGCTGATGCATCAGGACCTTCTGCTCTTGCACCCAGGTCTGCTGTGATCAAGTTTTACACACCAGCAAGGCACTCGTGAAAAACTGACACGGCGTATTCCAACATTTTGGTCTGCTGTGGTCTGCTCAAATGGCATTTCCTGAGTTGACTGATCAGCCTGGGATCCATTAAATCAAGCATGTATCAGGAACCGACAAATGTTCTTCGAGAGCTCTAAGGCATGCCTGCTCTGGAGGAGTGCGGCTCAGTCCCAGGGGGACTTCCTCGGTACCTCTCCAAAGCTAAGAATCATTGGCAATACATGCCAACAAGAGAAAAGATGGCTCAAATTATTATCATCGCCAGCATTACCCCCAGCTGCTTCTGCTGGATTAAGAAGTCCCAGGGTGGTTGTGCCATCTGATTTTCTTCGTTCAAATTCACACTGAAAGAAAAGATCAAGCCATTAAAACAGGTCTCTGGTGCACTGCCTGAGCAGTTAGCGCGACACAAGCGCCATACATAATTTAGTAGGCTGTTTTGCGCGTTGCTGCAATTAATAGATATTATGGGAGTTGATTCCGATGTTTAATGATACTGAACAGAACGGCACCTACTCTCAAAGGGTTGTGGCTTCCCAGAGATGGGGCGCCCATATTCTCTGCTCTGTTTACCTGAGCGTTAGGAGGTCGTTTTGTCAGCTTCCCCCCTGACTCCCGAATGATCCGTTCAATCAGCTCTTGTTCCCGCTCTAAATTACTATTCCTTATTTTTTCCTCAAGGAGATCTTTTTCTTTCCTGGGGGAAAAAGTGGTAGAACAAACACAAAAAGCTATATAGGTTACTGTTCCCCCTTACTATATATAAGACTACTACATTATTTATAATTATCATTACATTGCATTTCTGTCCTGCCGCTTTCCTCTTGCAAGGAAACCAAGGTGGCTTACACAGGTTCATTTTATCCTCCAAACAATTTCCTATCTAATTCAGGGGCTTTCTCTCTTTGGATAAGCTCAGTAGGGCGACTTGTACATACCGGACATCTGTCACCTGTTTAAAATAAAGAATAAGGCCCTTTTTACAGTGAAATGGGAAGGCATCTCTGCTAGCAATTTGCTTTCTTCGCTTTGCATGCCGCCAGCCCTGAGTCTCCAACAGAAAGCTGTTGAACTGATTTTGTGCCCAAAGATTCCCAAAGTCTCACTAGACTGCAAATCAATTTGGGCAAGGTTCAGAAATATCAGTGAAATTTTAAGTCTACTATGATATTGTGACCCAACTGGCAGAATTGGCACAGAAAGCATCCTCCAAACCAGAAGATTTCTTAAGAATCGTGTCCGGAGCATACCTCAAGCTTCAGCAAATGCTTCAAGGTATGGTCAAGTATGAAGGATGCCGCCAACGGATCCACAGTGCATCTAAACCAGCCTTTTGCTGCCCAAGCTTGGCCTACAGATGCCCAGCGGGGGTGCATGCCCCACTGCCGGGAGGGAGTCGGACAAGGCGCCAGCCCCCTTCCCTACTTTGAGGTAGGCAGGACTATGCAAACAGCTGCGCAATGATCCCAGACACCTCCCCAGCGCCAAAGTTGGGAGCGATGCTGCGGGTCCTGGCAGCTAAGAGGTCTCCCTCCCCACCAGCCCCTCCTGTTTCAAAGTTCAGCCTACATCCGCCTGGAGGTGTTCCATGCATTTTAGGGAAGTGGCGTCCCACCGTGCAACACTTCCCACAGCTGCTGAAGAAGTGGAGAGAGGGAGGGAGGGTGATGAGAATTTCTGGCTTGGCTGGCTTAACCGGCCAAAAGCTGCCCTGCTACACATGCCTGTAAGAAGCCAGCAACAGTTTTCTGCTCCTTCGATAGCCAGGCAAAGACATACACACTGCTACAAGTTTGATGTTACTAAGCAACAGCTGCTGACAGACCTGCACTGGGCAGCGCGTTGGACCCAATGAGCTTCTGGCCCCTTCCAATTCTATTATTCCAGGATTTTATGACCACGCCTCTTCTACCGTTTGGTTTAATCCCCTCTTAAAACTAGTTTAGTTGCTACCATCAAATGCAGGGCTCCTGACTTTGGTCAAATGAAAATAATACGTAGCCCCTTGTGGCGCAATTACTTTTTGTGCTCCTTGCTGGGAATTTTAAAGGTTTTGAGGTCTCCATCCGGGCAGTCTGCATCTTTTCCAAGGCCATCGTCGTCTTCTCCACTGGACTGTACGCCTGCTTTATCTTTCTGCTTCCTACTTTTTTGCAGGTCTGCCATGAAGTCAATACTTTGTTTCAAGCTCTGAATTCTTTCCTGAAAGAGCAAACCAAATTTAATACTTTCTCATTTGATGCCCACATGTATAACAGGTCCAAAGTGCAAGAACTTTCTGCTCAGCTGCAAAAGATCAAGAGCTCTTTGAGGAGCAGCAAGAGCACCCCAAAATTCTTGTTCTGAATGGCGATGGCTGCAGCCTTTACTCCAAAGTGATGACACAGCCATTAATCTACTGTAACATCATTTTTATGCATGTGTCTCATTGAGTCGAATGGGATTTATTTTTTTGTGCGTGTGTTTAGAATTGCAGACTTGGGGATTTCTGAAGGGAAAACAACGGTAGTCAAATGCTGCACTTCAAAAGAGATGCAAATAATCGAAGTACAACAGTTTTAGAAGTGCTAAGGAAGAAATAAGTACTTATGGGGAGCTGAGCTGAGTGAATCTGACAGATTTCTCCCCCAGAACTGGATTCCTCACATACTGCCATAGATGAAGCCACTCCCCATTCACCTGCCATCATTTGTTTTCAAGTCAATACCTGGCTGAGTATTTTCATTCCTGAATGCAAGAGTTTTTTTGCTGCCTTGTAATAGATCGTCTCTGGTTTGTTATAGACCATGGCATTGGTGCACATCAGTTTGAAGTTGTCCTGTATAAGCAGAAAAATTAAGACGAATGAGCAGGTGCTTCTACAAATGTTTCCTGTCTGATCTGTCCCTTTATTCCAGGGGTGCAAAGAAAGGAAGCCTGCAGATGGCCCCCCAAAGACTGCCAGCATCTGCCCCCAAACCCAGCAACAAAGCTGGCTCCACTCCTTCCCTGGGCATCCTAGGAAGGAACCACAGAGTCCCCCAAGTGCCTTTCAGAGTGCGTCCTGGAAGAACTGTCCTGGACTGGTAGTGCAGCCCCTTAGCAGGATCAGTGCTTCACTGCTGCTAGAACCAGGAGAAGGTCAGGGTGCCTGGGGCGTGGCGAGGGCTGGATGGCTGACGGGGACCATAAATAAGCAGTGACCAGGCAGGGTCTCTGAACATGCATGGGATTGTATGTGAGTGCAAGTGGGACCCCGCTGGCACCCTGGAAGACACAGACTGTGACCTCCGTGGCTGAAAAGACATTACTCCCCTGCTTTACCTCAACGAAATGCGAAACGTAACCTGTGCTTGGAGCTGCCGGTGTTCTGAAACTGAAGCACTGCCTGTGGCCAGAATAAGCACACTGACATGCCTGAATGATGCTAGAAGAGGCACCACAGGAAGGGTAACCTAGTCATCCACCATAATAGAGGTGCAGATTCTCTGCAATTTCTGAGTCGAATTCCTGCATTCCAGTCCTATCACCTGCCACCTTAACAAGCATGATGTATGTGTGTCTCTGCGCGGAACAGCATGCCTTCTGCTTTAACCAGTGCTCTGCAGTCCCTGTTAGCCACTGCGCTTTTCTGCCTCTTCCATGTGATTGCTGCTGCAGACAAAAAGCCAGGACCAAGGATCACCGGCCCGGTGGGGAGAGGCGGTGTCGTGCCCGCGCTCTCTGTACTGCGGCTGAGTTCTTCAGAGTGACAAGCTAAACCTCCAGGTGGAATTCAGTACCCTCTCCTCTGACACCAGCTCGCAAAGCACTCAGCCAGCAGCTGACATCCTTTAGAAATGACAGATTTGATCTGAGGACAACAGTGCTCATAGCAAACACATCGGTTTACACTTTGGTATTAATGTACCGCGATGCTCATCACAGTCAGTTTTCCCAGGAGATCACAGGGCCCTTTTTCATCAGATTGAAAACAGTAATAAAGGAACCGCACAAATCTTATGATTTTCTTTAAAAGGCACAGAGAGGGACAAGGGTGAGACAAGAATTTTAATAAGCAGTGCTAAATAGAAGGCAAGAAGGAGATAAGCTGACTTTTGCTATCCTTTAAGGTTTTTCCTTTTAAATTATTAATTGACTTACAAGATGTATATACTGCTCTAAACCCATTAAAATTCATGATAGTAATGAACAATAAGGAGGATTTAAAATCAAAATACAAAATTAAAATCCTGGAAGTTAGGTATGTCAGTAAAGGTGGCTGGCCGGTTTAGGGTTTAAAAAAACCTCTTCAGGTGCCAAAAACAAAACACTGGTGCCCACAGGGAGTTCCACAAAGAGGGGGCAAGGACACTGAAGGCGCCACTGCACCTGGACTCCACCTGGGCTGCAGAACCACCAGGCGCACCTCCCCAAATGGATTACTTAGGACTTTATACCCTGATAAGGTAAAGGTAAAGGTTTCCCCTTGACTTTAAGTCCAGTCATGCCTGACTCTAGGGGGCGGTGCTCATCTCCGTTTCCTGGCCGAGGGAGCCAGCGTTTGTCCACAGACAGTCTCCGTGTTCGTGTGGCCAGCATGACTAAACACCGAAGTGCACGGAACGGTGTTACCTGCCCACCGAAGTGGTACCTTCCTATCTACTTGCATTTGCATGCTTTCGAACTGCAAGGTTGGCAGGAGCTGGGACGGAGCAACAGGAGCTCACCCCGTTGTGCAGATTCGAACCGGCGACCTTTCGATCAACCAGCCCAGCAGCACAGCGGTTTAAACCACTGCGCCACCTGCAGTCCCTTATACCCTGACAGAAGCACCTTAAATCTGACTCGGGAGCAACCAACCAGCCGATACAGCCTTCCTCCGTAAGGGTGCAACATGCTGGAAAGGACCGGTTCCTGTTAGGCTCCGCACTGCCTGCAACTCGGAGACCAGCCTTAACGGTGGCTGCTGGGCTGAGGCTGCAACTCGCCCCTGCAGTGCTACAGCCAGGCTGTTCCTGCCCAGCGGTAGCCGTAGCAGTTCATGCGGCAGAAGGCCCTCGGGCTGCCATGGCTATTTGGGACCTGGTGATATTATGCCTAGATGCTACGAACGGGGCCTTTAGAGGCCGTGTGGCCCCATCAGCAAGCTGATTTCCTGGATCTGGGACCCACTTGCCCACCAGGCCCCCACCCTGAGAGGACTGATTCAGCCTCCCTTTGCTAGCCCCGTCCAGGTCATCATGACCTCTAGGTGCTGATCCAAAACTTGCAAGGCCTCATCAGGTTCAGATCTCCGGAGTGGATGGAGCTATGTGTCACTGGCCTACTGGCAGTGCTTTCCTCCAGATCAGATCCCCTAAACAATGTTTCTACGGCGTCAGGCGGGTGTCAAACAACTGCTGGAGCAGGATGGTCTCCACAGGACCCCGCTGCTCAACAGCCGAGGTGCTGAGGAACAGTCAGCAGGGCTGATTTCAGAAATCAGGCAGGACTGGAATCGCACGATGCCTCCTGCACCCCAGCTGGACATGGTCGACGGCAACAAAAGCCAGGCAGAAAGCGAGGCCGTTGCATTCCCACAACCACCGCTGGGCACAGGTCATCCATTAGGGATGCCGTCTTCTGCCCCAAATTCTATTTGGATCAGTTACACGTAGGGTCATCTGAATCCATAGTCTTGTTTTAAGATATCTGGTATTACTGAAATGTGTTTTGATGTGTTCAGCCTTCCTCCCTCCCGCACACAATTTCTAACACCTCGTGAGTTAACATTAAAAGTATCTACTGAAGGCATTAACAAAGGCTTTCTGTAAAGTAAGTGAATGGAAAACTCTTGAAGCCAGATGTGCCCATTTTTGATTCTGTGTGTTCATAAACCATGAAAGTTAAGCCCCGAAATGAATAAAATGTGGAAAAAACTCGGTGCAATGCAATCGCTAGTACCAGCAAGTGTCAATGTTTAATCCCCTCTCTGCAGTTTAAAATATAAATTAAAAGCACCTTTAGTTCTTCTATGGACTGGTAACCATTGTTCTTGATCTTCTCTTTCATGGTACTGAAATCCATTGGCCGTTTAATGATCATGGAGTAGCCGGGAGCAATAAAGTCAGTCACAGGAAATGAAAAGAAAGCATTTGGATCCTTTCTGTTAAGAAATGAAAAGAAGAGCCCTTTATGGTACGTTTCCATAACAAAGAACAGACAGAGTTTAGTATTAAATTGAAGAGAAGACTCCAACTTGAAAGGAACCAGAAAACTGAACTGAAACAAGAGGTAGCTTTTGCCCTAATCCAATCTTGCATTTCTTTAAAGTGTGGAAGAGCTACCGGGACCCGTCCCTGCCTCCCCACTCCCACATTTTTTGCTGGGATGCTATTGTTAAAATGTGTTTGATATTTCTAAACCAAACTGCAGGTATCACATTTTTTTGCCTCTCCTTCAGACGGAAAGATGCATTACAGTTTCAGCATAATGTCAGTGGCTGGGAAAGGATATGGTACAAGGCTGCTGAATGCTAGCCACACAGGACTTCCCCCTTCAAACAGCGCCTCCCATATATTATTATTATTATTTGGAATTTCTGTATGCTGTCCCATTCGCATAAGCCTCGGGATGGCTTCCAACATCATAAATAAATACTCATACAAATAAATGCATATAAAATCTAGATGCATCCTGGCTAAATATTTTAAAACCAATACATAATATCAACAATTATTAAAATATCGTTTAAATAAAAAGGTCTTGGCCTGGCACCGGAAAACAAATAATGACAGTGCCAGGCAGACCTCTCTGGGGAGCGCATTCCATAAGTGGGGCGCCACCGCAGAGAAGGCCCTCCTCCAGGTACTCACCCTCCTAATATCTTTCAATATATAAGACTGGTGGTATTTCCCAAAGTGCAACAAGGGTTAATATATGGGCGATATCTAAAATCAAGATGGCAGCCATCAATTTCTCCGTGTTCCATGCCACAGGGGCAGGCAGGATTACCTTGCAGTGGCAAAGGAAGGGTTTCGCAAGCCAGCAGAGCTCCAATGTACTCAACTTCATTGCACTGGCTGGGAAGAAAGCCACTGGATTCTTGCAAAGCCTCACAAAACCGTAGGCCTGCGGTGGTCTAAGCTAAGGTGTGTATCATCTACGCGTAGTAGTTACTGCCTACTTCCTGGATTAGCTGAACACACACTTGGACTCCTTCCAAAGAATAACCTTTTACTCTAACAGCTGCAGTGTTTCACATATAGTCCGCCGTCAGTTTATAGGAATAATTAGTTATGCTAAAAAAAAGTTCTCTTGGCTTAAGCAAGAGAATCATTTTGACAGGTTTCTCCTATTAAAAGAGAGGCAATCCTCTCTGAAGAATGAGAAACTGAGATCATAAACCATTCACTCACTGAAGCTGCATAAAATCTACAGGACATTCCATGACTCCCTCAGAGTGATTGGTTTATTAAATAGCAGCCAATTTCTAGAACTATTTCAATAACATGTTAATTTTAAAAAGCAAATGCTAGTGTTACATGAAGATGAGCATGTGTAATGATACATATTAGCTTGGTAGAATGTACAGATATGGATAGTAGCATACCAACAAAACATGAAAAAGGAACAATCCAAATTAGAAAGATAAACACACAGGTTCTTCCAGTATTAAACTATTTAGCATTCTTACTGGTCTTATCAAAGATGCTTGGAAACCTGACAAGAACTCACCTCTGCAGCTGTCTGACAAGTTGGTTCAAAGCTTCTTGAAGTGGAGTCTGCTCAACTTCTAAGACAAAGAGATGAAAGAAGGAAAAAGAGCACACATTAATTGAAAAAGGACACGCACGTATCGCGAAATCCAGGCTTGGAGATGTTACTGTTTCTTATGGCACAATGATACAGCATCTTAGAGGCAGTGAAGCAAAAGGGTAAGCTTTCCTCTGTTAAGCTGAACAGTATTTTCCATGCACATCAGAGGAGATCTTCCGAGTGTTTCAGGGCCATGCAAACGAGCAAGAGTTTTGACTTTCCCATGTAGGGAGGTGGCTTCCTGCTCCAGTTCCAGGCCTGTTTGCTTCACAGCAACAGGGTGTTTTCAGAGCTTTAACCTTGGAATTTCTCCCCACAACTCCAGCTTAGTTGGCTGGAGTGCGAAAGAGCCAGCTTATTTATGTTTCGCAATACCCACTCAGCAGGAAACTCCCTACAACAGGGATGGTGAGGTTGAGTAGCCCTTCAAGTACTGCACTCCCCATCAGCTCTAGCTAGCCCAGCCAGTGGGAGAGGCTGGAGGAAGTTGCGGTTCAAGAACAGCTAGAAGGCCACATGTTCCCCATCCCCAATTTGAGAGCTTTTAAAATTTATGTAGGGGTTTTTTTTTGTATTGCCTTCCTGGGCAACAAGCCGTGTGAAGGTGGTTTGGATCCGGATGCTCACAAATGGGCTGATGTTTCTGGGGCGTGCTGCTCCAGTTCAGGAAGTTTTTCAACTTGTAATTCCAAGCATGAATTTATTTAATTTTAGGAGCAGGCACAAACAAACTCCATTCATTTTATAAAAATAAAATATAAATAAGCTGAGATCAAGCTTCTGACATTTTCACATTCTAGCCAATGCATTCTTAATGATGGAGGAACGAAGAAACACAGTGGCTACTGTTGTTATTCCACAGTTGTTGTGACACTGCTTTTAATGTAGCATGTTATGTTCTGGGGCCACTAGTCACTTGAACAATTTTTTCAAATAAGGGAAGTTTTTTTTTTTTTACAATCATGATTTATGCACTGCCTTGTACTTTAACAATAGCATACTTGAAGTGACTAAAATTTTTAAAACATCGAAGTAGAGCCAATCAAATCAACAATACAATGGCCTTTATAGCCTAAAGTGTTTAATCCTACCTAAACCTGGAAGGCAAGCAGGGTCAGGCCTGCTTAGAATCTGAATGGGAGGCTTGAGTCTTGCACTGAGAAGGGGGTTGGCCCTGATGGCTTTCTAGACCTCCTTCAACTCTATGATTCCATGAAAACAGACAGCATTTTTTACCTTCCTGTTTTGCTAAACTGCTTGCCAGTGGTTTTTCAAGTGGCATTTCCAGTCTTACAGGAGTTTGACATTTCAGTTCTCTTTCTCCTTCGGTATCACCACGGTCCCTATCTCGCTTCTTTTTATCCTCCTAAGGATATAAACAACAATTGTCTTGTGAGGCATCACACTACTGGGTGCAGAGTTCTGACCACAATTTGCTTACTCAATGTAGACATTAATTATCAGAGTGTTAAAAGCCCAGACAGAATCTATTCTTTATGTGCTGTCTCCATCTACTGGAAGTCACATATACTCAGGATATTATTCATAATATTTACGGAATGCAATGGAATGAGATCCAGGGGGAAATGACAAGCAGCCTTATACCAGGTCATAATATTCATCCAACCCTGTATTAGTGACTCCAAAGCGGACCTCAGGATTTTGTTGGACTCCAAAAGTAATCTCCCCAACTCACATGGACAATGAGCAGGGATCATGGGACCTGTACTCCACTACCTGCAAAGTGACAGGTTCCCCACCCCAGCTACTCTGATTGACAGCAGCGTTCCTGCATCCGAGGCAGAGGCCTTTTACATCAGCTGCTAGCTAGGCCATGCTTAATTGGACATGCCAGGGCTTCGAACACAGAACCTTCTGCGGGCAGGGAGGTCTGCTTCTCAGCTACTGACCACAGGTACGTGACTGAAAAGACTGCTAATGCAGTGGGGCTTTCTACTCATGCAAACTTAATTTTTACTGACTCCCTTCTGCTGCTGCAACTTACTAGGCCACGTTTCAGATCTTCTGGACAATCCAAGACTATCCCCCAAACTACTCCAGCACAAGCATTTTTTTTTTACCTGTAAAGGCAAGCAAAATACATTATCTAAAACTACCTTTACTTTTCTCCTCCTTTTTTCCTTCTCCTCTCCAGGAACTTGCTTTTCAGCTTTTTTCCTCTTCTTCCTTTTCTTGTCTTTGTGTTTTTCATGTTCATTTTTGTCTTCAAATAGGGTCGAATCGTGTATTGTGCTCTGAGTGGAAAGCTCTGCTACTTCATTTCCTCCGACTTTTAAAACCAGCTTTAGGGGTTTTTCTACATATTCTTGAAGAAGCACAGGAAACCTGGATAAGTCTTAGAAATAACCTGCAGTACACACAAACTCAATTCAACTTTGAATGATTTTGAAGCAATCCTGTGGCCCTTAAATAGCTCAGAGAGGGCTGCATGATTTTTGGATTCCGAGATCCAAGGTTGGCAAGGGGCTGGGGGAGACTAGAGGCAAGAAGTAGTCAAATTTGTTAGCCCTGAAATACTCCTTAGCACAGGACCCCTAATTTGTTTCCCAAGGGAAAAGTTCTCAACAGACACAAGGCCTTATTCTGTTTCCCTTCTCTCTTGTGTCCTTGAGGCTGTGTGTGGTGCCGTAAGCTGTTAGACTCAGGCTGACATACTGAGATATGCTTGGCTCTTTCCTGAGGTGAGACTTGAAAGATTTCCTGACTGTGGTATCTTACTTGAATCAGCTTTGCAGTCTGCTGTTCGATCCTACCTGCAGAGTTAGTTTCTAAGAGCAACGGGGAGATCCTCTGCTCACCCTTGTAGTATCTGAATAGTGGTGGTTCTGCAAGATTCTATCTTGACCATCTTGTCCCTTAACATATCTATGAAGCCACTGGGTGAGGTGATCAGCAATTTGGAATGAAGTGTGTCAAAAACAACACCCAGCTCTATTTTCTCTTGGCATCCGAGTCTGGTGAAGCTGTGCAGGTGCTGAACCTATGTCTGCTAATGGGTTGCATGACGTACAACAAACTGAAACTAAATCCCAATAAGGCAGAGGCTCCATGAGAGGGAGTTAGGTGTGTGCTCTGTTCTAGGTGGGGTTGAAATTCCCCTTGAAAGAACAGGTACATAGTTTGATCGGAATGATGATATAGATAAATGTATTGTTCTGCAACAGAGATAAACAGAAACATAGAAACAGAGCGAGTCAGAAGAGCCAGTGTGGTGTAGTGGTTAAGAGCGTGGGACTGGGACTCAGAGGATCTGGGTTCTAGTCCCCGCTCAGCCATGGAGCCAACTGGGTGACTTTGGGCCAGTCACAGACTCTCAGCCCAACCTACCTCACAGGGTTGTTGTTGTGGGGATAAGATGGAGGAGGAGAATGATGTAAGCTGCCTTGAGCCCTTTGAGGAAAAAGGCAGGATATAAATCAATCAATCAATCAATCTAGTCTGACCCTGGGCTCCAGCCCTGGCTCCATGGATAATGGGTTGGATCCATATTTACTCACAACTGCAGCAGACCCACTTCAATTAATGCTGCTTAAGTTAGTCACAAGACTGTGCCTAAAACTGGATCCAGCCTAGAAAGGAGAAGAAACTGTGCATATGACATGGATCACGGGTGGGCACTTGTGGCCCTCCAGATGTTTTGGCTTGCAATTCATCAGTCCTTGCTAGCACAGCAATGATGAGGGATATTGCAAACTGTAGGCCGAGACATGGAAGGCCCACCCCTGCTACCGAATGATATTAGTATCTGTATGATTATGTGCATGCATTTATATCTCCAAAATTCTTTGTACATCTGATGAAGTGGGCTAAAGTCCATGAAACTTTATGCCATAATAAACTTTAAGTTTAAACTTTAAACTATTAAAGTTTAAATAAACTTTAATAAGTCTTTAAGATACCACAGACTCCCTGGAGTAACACAGCTACCCTTGGAAAATGTATATGCACATGTGTAGTCTATCTGTCAGCGGCATTGCTTGTGTGTAGATAAAGATAAATGTATATATAGGTACAGAAGTGTCTATCGCTTGCCACATACCAGCCGTGCTGATAGACTTTACAGAGGGTAGTTTGTGTTAGCCTACTGCAGCAAGACCACTAAGGTGTTGTGATGATTGTAAACCCCTAAATGTGGGGGTCTTGTGTGTAAGATAAGCAGTCCTACTCCGGGAGTCTCTGGCAAAGGAAATGGGGCAGGGACAAGTACAAAGAAAACCCTGCCCTTTCTTCGCTGGCACTCCAGAGGCCGCCAACACCAGCAGATCAGGGAAAGATCTTCTTTTACCAAGAATTTTGGTATTCCAGTTATTGTTTTAAATCCCTAGTGGCCTAGTAAGAGCGGGAGGAATGATATAAGCGGCTTTGATTTCTTTGAAAAAAGGGAAAAGGTGGGATATAAATCGAATAAATAACTAAATCAATAATGCATTTACGTTTAGACAGAACTGTGGTCAAGCACATCTGCCGGGCACCAAGTTGGGGAAGGCTGCTCTACCCCACTTGGCCCTTTCCTGTTAAAAAGTGGGGGCGAGGCCCCCTGGTCCTCAGTAAGCAAATCACGCTTAAAGTAACGGCTCCCCCACCAAGACCACCAAAGGCCACGGAAGGCAACCCTGCGCAATCACCCCACAATCCATCACCCCCAGATTCCTCCCTACGTCCCCTTCTTTCTCTCCCATAATCCCCCGCTTCATCCCAGCATCCCCCGTAATTCCCGCCCTCTCCCCCAGAAGCCTTCCCACAATCCCCCTGGCGCCCACAGCGCTACCCCTCACCCCCCGGGCCCCCCCAATCCCCCCTCCTCCCCCAGACGCCCTCCCATCATTCCTCTTCGCGCCCACATCGTTCCCTCCCTCCCCCCCCCGGGGAAACGGCCGCGGGGGCACCTTCATACGGGTACTTCTCCGCCTTGTGCTTCTTGTGCTTCTTGCCCATGGCCCGAGCCGGCCGCCCGCCGCGCCCCGCGCGCCCCCTGCCCGCTGCGGTTGCCGTCGCGCGACGGGCCCGAGCCGAGGCCGGGCGGGACACAGAGCTAAGTGCCGCGCAGCCGAGGAGGCATCCGGCCCTTCCTCCGATAGGGAACTTCCGGGTTCCCTGGGGAAAGCGGCTTCTCTCCCTCCTCCTCTCTCCCTCTTTCTCGCACGCCGCCCTTGGCTTCATGCCCGCACCCGGGGCCTTGAATGCGCCGCGCTTGCGACTGCTCCCGCTGTAGGCAAAAAGCGATTTCAAAAATATCTAGGAATAGACGTGAAATGCGGCTCTACTTTTTTTATCTCTATGGGCTCAACATGACAGGGAGGAGCAGGAGGAGGACCACCGAGAAGGAGGCGGCGCCGCGCGAGAGCGGCCTCAATAAGGTTTGCTCTCCCCCTGGTGGCTCCGAGGTGCTACTACAGACGAGTCGCCGCTGCTTGTTGGGCGTTCTTCCACGCTTTCAGTGCAGAGGTCGGTCCTAATTATGTAGATAATGATATTATATAACCTTGCTCTCTTATGTGCGGGTCCCTGTCTGAGGGGAGGCTTAATTTTGGGACAGCGGTTGGGGGTGTCCCAATTCTATGATATGGCATCGTATTAAACTCACAGTTCATTATGCTTTTTATATGTTAGTTACAAAGGCATTTTGGATATGGTAAATCGTAGAATTGATTGCTCCATTAATGAAATGAATAAATGCATATAAATGAAGGTGGCAACATGCAATTGTTGGGAGACCTGATTTCATGATATTGAAACTTCCCCAAAAAGGGTGGGCTTATATTAGCAGCTATTTTCACACACCACTTCTTGTATGGTATCATGGAGACTCCAATGCAAAGCTTGCTTTTGGTCCTCCCCAGCCTGGCTCCCATTTTATTTTAATCTGCATTCTTCCTTGCCTTTGACACACACATTCACAGACGTTTCTAAAATTCTGGTATCTTGGTGTGCTGAATACCTCTGAGCACATGCAGAGTGCTTCACTGCCCTTTCTTTGCCCCTCCCCTACGTTGGGAAGAAGGCCATGATCTCCGTGGTAATGCAGATAAGTTACATGTATAAGACTGTGGGGCTCTACCCCAACAGTAGCAGAGACCACCCCCCAAAGCCCCTGTTTCAGCAAGGGTCTGTGGGCAGAAGACTTCCCAAAGATTTGGGGGCTCTGCTTAAAAGAATCAGGGCTCCAACCCTAGTGTGTTGTCCCCAACATTGATTCTAGTCTGTGTTGGTTGATCTCATTTCCTCCACAGCTGTGGGCCCTGATGGCACTTCCATATTCCAGGGCAGTCTGTTTAATGTAATTCTGCTTGTGGGAAGCAGGAAAGAGGACTGGAAGGCTCTTGGGTCCAATCCAAAAGGGCTTGTTTTATGGCCATGCCTACCAGGGAATGGTGGGCGTTACAAACCAACACATCTGTTGGGAAAGGTTATATTAATATCATAGATCCAAACAACCAAATGTTCTTGTACCTGTTCAAATCAAAATACTATTTTTCCATCCAGTGGTTTCCTCTCAACCTCAACAAAACTTGAATCCACACTAGCAAAAATCTATATATTTTTCATATCTGTAGGTGACAGCTAATGTAAGCCATTGTTTCTTTGCCAGTGCTAGGGAGGTTTTGGTCTGAGCCGAGTTTATTGGGCATCAGCATAAAAGGACATGAAGTACTTGAGTGTGAGATTTCCTTGTTGTTATTCTTCCCTCCCCTTCCCCCATCATACTTGGCTTTACGGGAGAGATGGCTAAGAACACACATCGATTTTTGTTTAGAACAAGCGTTTATTGATCTATACAGGACTTGCAGTGCAAACTGGCAAATCTCGGAGTGGCCAAAGGTCCTTCAAGGTGCACGATGGAAGAAAAAGCATTTTTGTAGAAGGAAGGGCATGCATTTGATGAAATTTGCATTTACGTGGAGTAGTGAATTGGTTAGGCTGCGCCCCTCCAAAAGCAGTGAGGAGGAACTCGGTCTATAGCCAGAGGTGTGGTTGGATCACAGCCTACTCCAACCCTTGGGATGGTTTGGACTAGATCAAGTGATGGTCTCAGGGATGGACCACAGAGCCAAACATGGTGGTGAGCAGTGTTCAAGGTGGACTTGGAGGCACTGCAGTCTTTCCTGTTCAGGATGGTTAGCCTGGGAGGGCAGGGTCCCTCCAAAGCCTAGGTGCACCACACACCTTTTTCCCAAGAGACCCACTGCCCCCCAGATCCACCCATGAAGGAACCCTACTCACTGGAGAAACTTTATGCTGAGTGCATGGGAAAGGATACTCTGTGCCTTGCCTACACTTCCACCGGCATGTTCGTTTGTTCGTTTAATTTCTGTTCCACTTAGTAATGGTACTTGTAACAGCTAATGGTATATTGAGTCTCTGCGGGGTTCCTTGACTGGGAATCTTGGTGGCTCGCCAGGTGGGCGGGAGACCTCCAGTGTATCTGTTGGGGTTTGGCTCAGCAGTTCCTGATGCAGAAGGCAACTCTGTGTTTGTGACAATGGTTTTCAGATGTTGTTCTAGGGAAGCCTAAGGTCTGGTACTTTGAGGGAAACATGAAGGGCCCCACTTCGAGGAATGAGCAGGGCCCCCAAACCCAATTTTGAAGTGAGTGAAGCAACACCCGTTGCCATCTAAAGGGGGGTTCGTGTAATCCCGAGAAATCCAGAGTTTAGAACCGTGCCATGGTTTGGATGTAATGGCTGACGAGTGTCTCTGAGGAAGTGTTAGTCCATGCTCTATCATGACTAATCGTCCTCATGGTGTAAAGATAGTAGGAAAGGTGGCTGATGCCAAGAGAGGCCACAGGGTAGAAAAGGTGACCATGTCTCGCCCATCCCGTTGAATGAGTGCATCCTACAGCTTGCAACGGGCAGGAATTCCCTGGAAGACAAGCAGATGAAAAAGATGTGAACGTTACTGATCTCAGTGAACAGAGCTGCGCACAACGTGTCCTGCATTGTTTGTTCTGGTCCTTCCCTTAGCTGGGGAGATCAGAGAGGGACTCGTCCAAGACCACGCAGGAAGCTCAAAGTAGACGTGTGTCTGGAGCCCAGGTTGTCCAACACTCAAGCAGCCCAAGCGCCACTCTTGGGATGTCTCATGTGGTGCCCAAAGCACGTGTGTGCACACAGGTGCCTTTCCCAGTCAGGTTTCTTCCTCTCCTGATCTCTGCTTTATTTCTTAACATTTTTAAAATTGATTTTTTAAGCTGAGGAATGGCCACACTTCAAAGCAAAATGGCGGCCTTCCAGCGCCATCTTTACCAGGGTTCAAAAGTGTGTTTTTGCATTTTAGAGGATAGACCTCAGCTCTGCCATGACCTTAGGTTTTGGGGCAAGTTGCTTTTTTTGAGTCTCAGTAGCTTGTCTTCAGGACAGTGAATATTCTGTGGCTCCCCCCCACCCATGGTAGCCATTTATGAATGGACCATCCTCTCCATGGCTGCCAATTTGTGAGAGTGCCCACAACGCTCAAAATCCCAAAGTTCACCACAGACTCCAAAGGGCTGGGGACTCGCGTAATGACCAGCAGCGAGAGGTATTCTTCATACACGGGCCAGGACAACACGGTGGACCGAGTGTCCAGTTCGCAGCAGACTGGGCTTTAAAAGGGTCCCGAGCTCCATTGTCATTTCCGGTAGTCCAGCTATCTTTTAAATTTACCTGTGCTTATCTTCTTAAGCTATGTTCTTCAAGAGAGAGTTTCCCTCTCTTTTATGTTGCTGGGTTGCACTGCCTCCCCTGTCATCCTCGCCCGTGCTTGCTTGGAGTGATGGGAGGCCTGGTTTGGCACGTCCCAAGGGCACAAGGTTGGGAAAGGCCGGTCTGAAGGGTGGTCACACCGGCTTAGTATCTTCTCGTGCTTCCATCCACTTGGTGGTGTAATATGCAAAGGAAAATGGGCTTGTCATATTCAGCTTTTCCGCAGTAATGAAATGTGGATTTCTATTTCAGATAACACAACTTGCTAGATTATTAAATAACACTGGAACTTGTTAAGAGTTTGGCTAAGCTGCTGGATTATTAAATAAAATAGGAAGAAATATTATTTTTAACAGAGTTTCAGGGAGTCTCTCAGTTGCTTTGAGCTTGTGTGGTGATAAGTTATTGCTAAGACGGATACTTAGTTTCATGAAGACAGAGCGTTTGTTGGAGGAAATAAAAGTATTCTTTTTTGTTTTAAAAAACGAATACAATCTTGCAGGCAAACTCCGCTTCCTTTGTGTAATGTTTTGCCTGTTTATATCTAGGAGTTCCCTAAGCTGTACTAAGAGAGCAAGAAAGATTCAAGGCAAGTGAGAAGGCAGCCCTTCAGCACAGGAAGCTCCTTCTTCCCTACAAACTACTCTGCTTTCAGCTAATTCAGGTGACCAGAAACTGGTGCTCGTGATGTCAAGGCAGTAGATTTGATTCCTAAATGGATGAGGGCCCACAGGTTCTTTTTTCTGGAGGAGATGTCATATTTTGAATTGTAACTTTGGTCCATCTAGCCCAGTATTGCCTACACTGTGTGTGTTGAACCCCTTTCAGCTCAAGAGACAAATTCCAGCTTGAGGATGCTCTCGAGGGGCTCCTTCTCATGGAGGGTGGCATCAAAGGCAAACAGGGTTGAGCCAAAATACCAGTATCTTGTAGCTTTATTTCTGCAACCAACGAAGCCTTAGGAGGCATTTCAGCCTTTCGGAATGGGGAAACTCTGCACAGATTCTGGGGAACCATCAAACCATCCATGGTTGGAGGGAAAGGGGTGGGACTAGGGGAAGGGAGAAAAGCCTTCTGGGGAAGCCCTGGTGGACTGGATTGCTCTCTGGATATATGAATCAGCACCTCTGACCTGAACTGTCTGGCAGGCCCTCTGCAGAGTTTCCTGGCCCCAACAGGAGATGCTGGGGGCTGTTTAGCAGATCAGTGGGTATATGCATTGCTGATAATACATAAGTATTTCAGAAACTGAGAGAAAGACAGCAATTTAAATGCCTTCTGGATATTTTAATGTGCATGGCTTTTGCATGCATGCTAAAATAAACATTTGCTAATGGTC